CCGCCCGGGTTGCCAACTGCTGCCTTTGCTAATTGATCCTCCCTTCCATCAGCGGTGGGCCGCTACGCTACGCTTTTGGCCCAAAAAGTGTAGCGTAGCGGCACTTTTTTTCATCCAAAAACCGTAGTGTTAGCAGTTTTTTAGCGGTTTTTTGCTACACTACGCTGCGCTACAGCGCTTTTAGCGGAAAAAGCGGCCAAAAACCGCTAAAAACCGCTGTAGCACAGCGTAGTGGGCCCTTTTTTGCGGCCCACACGCGTAGCGTTAGCGGTGTCGTGGCGGAATTCCGCTACGCAACGCTAATTGCTAACAGTGATTCCCCTGCGTTAAGCTACACTAACCGCTACGGTTAGTGTAGCGGCCCACCGTTGATTCCATTGCCCAGTATATGTATCTTTGTGGCCAGGATACCAAACTAGCATTAGTTTCACCTCAGGGGGCAGGGAAGTGAAGCCCTCATCAATCATACAAAAAAGGGATTGGCCTGGTCCTGGGACTCTGGGGTCCTTTGTCCGTAGTATCACCCCTTTGTTGTCAACAATTACAAAGACGAGGATCTTCCTGATTCGATGATCCTGGCATATCCTACCCGCCAATTTGACTGCTGTAAGCAGTCCAATGCTCTCACATTCATGGTTAGCTATATTGGTGTTATTCCCACATGAGAGTGGGCTGTAGACATTCAGTTGAGGGCAGCAAGCAGCACCTGCGTCCTGCCCCCCCCCCTAGTATAAAAGGAGCCGTCACAGAAAAGAACCAAGGAACCATCTGAGAATGAATTAATAATTTGAGAGAAGTGACTTAACAGAGGAAATGGCCATGTCCCTTGTTGCGTTAAGGTTGAGGTATTCCAGTGATCGGGATGAAGCTCCATTCAAGCCGAAGGAAAGTCGTGCTCTATGTATCAGGGGCTTGCAGGGGTGATCCCACAGTGTAACATAACCTAGCTCGGATAGATAGTTTAAGTTAAGTTAGCCCAGATGAGACTACACCACTCCACAACAGCCTGACCATCCTCCATCTTCATCTCATCCAAGAACTCTAATCATCCACAAGATGCTACTCCAACTCATCAAGACATTCAGTACCAGCAGGAATCTCGATCAGATGTTAAGCAACTATCACTCTCACTCTCTCTCTATCTCACAAGATATAAGAAGGACAAAGGCTGACTTGAAAGAACATCGAGAACAGTCCCAGTCGAGATAACTGCCACTTCGAACATGACCCAACCAGCATGTCCCTATCGATCATCATCGTACTCGGAATTCTAGTCTCGTGAGTACAGCTACTTTCTGAAGCGATTTCAGCTCAACCTCGAGATCTAACACTTTCCATCTTCAGCTATCTCCCACAGCACTACCGAATCATTTCTTCCAAATCATCTCATGGGATCAGCCCCTGGTTCTTACTCCTTGGCTCGACCAGTAACACCGGCAGTCTCGTCAATGCGGTCACTCTCCAATGGGGCGTCGTGCGCTGCTGTCAAGTCTTGGTCAGTCTCCTCCATCCACCATCCATCATCTATCCTCACCTCCACATTAAACATCGTCTTGCATTTCAGAACCCCGGCGAATGCGCTGAATCCTTACTCGGAATCATCCAAGTCTTCCTACAATGGGCATGTTTTAATGTCATGTAAGCCATCCTTCATTCAATCCATCACACAAAGCACAAAACAACTGATCTTGCCTGGTTACATTTGTCGACTGTCTGCCGAAATCCAGTTTAATTCTATCATTAATCTATTTCCCACGCGATCTAAAATATGTCAGAGTTGTTCCGGTCGAAATTCGAGAGAGATCAGACTCACCACTCATGGACCGAGCCACGAACTATTCATCGCAATTCCTATCCCGTTTCTTCCTCAAGCACAACCACCGAACCACCTCCTCATCCTCCAAGCAACCACGAAACCCACGCGAGTCGGCCCCGGACCAAGCAGTCACATCCCGATCGAGTCATGATAGTCTCGCGAGCAGTCAATCTACCTCCTCAGAACATAGCACCACCTTCCCTAGCGCGAGCTCCGACTCATCCGCCTTCGACCCTTCCAACGTCCTCCCACCCTCAGCCACCCGATTCACCCCACTGACGCTCTCCAAGGAATACACCATCTCACTTGTCCTCGCCTTTGTCGTCTTCATCCACTTCCTCTTCTCCGCCCTCGTCACCCTCGGCCTCTTACTCCTCCTGCCTAAGGCCTCCCTCGGCGAACCCGTTCGGACACCCCCCTCCCATTCCGCCGAACATCCCACCGTCAGATTGCTCAGGATCTGGGCCTCCTCCTCCGGGATCCTCAGTCTCCTCCTTGCTGCCTGTCAATACCTCCCTCAGATTCAAGAAACCTTTCAGGCTAAACTCGTCCGAGCGCTCTCTATCCCGATGATGCTTATCCAGACCCCTGGAAGCTTCTTGTTCGTCTACTCTCTGGCCATCCGTCCGGGACTGAATTGGACCACCTGGATCGTCTATCTTGTCACCGTCAGTCCGAACTTTTGGTCTCTGATTGATTCTTCACGAGTGATTTCCCACTAGATGCTGATTTGGATCTTTGAATGGTCAACACAGGGTATCCTACAAGGTGTCCTACTCATTCTATGTGTGCTATGGAAGATCAGACAACAGGCCAATGGGGTTGACGACTGGGGCAAGCCGTTGGCCCGTTCGACAGGGAGCGCCAAGCGGACCGGCGACGGTTTGTTAGGCTCTGAGGGCTATGGGGAGGGCCAGCAAGAAGGGCCAGGACGCTCGGAGCGCAGCCCGCTTCTCTCTGCCCTCCGACCACCTTCGACCTTCCTCTCCCCCTCCTCCTCCTCCACTCACCGTCCCGCATCTGGCAAACAGAGACAAATTAAAGACGACTCTCTCGATTCTTCCCACTAACTGATCTCGATTCCTTTGATCCCCTTCTCACTTTCTTTACCTTTGGTTCGGATTGGGAATCATGTAATCGTTTTTTTCTGCTTTCCTTTTTTGTTGTTGTGTAACCTCTTTTTATATACATGTTTTGCCCACCAAAATACATATACATACATACCTTCTTCCGACTTTTGATTATACTCTATTGGGCTTTTTGTTGTTTTGATTTGTTTTAGGGCTGATGTTATATGATCTATCTATCTATGCAAATGTATATACAAATTATACACTTTTTTCATGTTGTTATTTCTCAGGTTGCCCATTTGTTCTTTTTCTCAGATTGGTTCCCCTTCTACTTCATTTATGACTTGTTTTTTCCTTCCTTGTTATTTGTTATCTAAATTAATGATAATCCATGAGAATAAAAAAATGTACATCTACATATACACATTACATGAAATCAAGAGATTCTTGTGAATCAAAAGATTGAGGTACATACATATACTTCATCAAGATGTAAATCGGTATGGAGATGTTAATGTGGATGTCTTTGGATTGGACCTTCACACATATGGTGTTGCAAGCCAGTCTGGGCACTGGCACAAGTTGGACGAAAAAGAGGCCAAGCGGGCTTGGCCGATCCCAAACCCCGCGTGGCACCCTCTAAACCCAACTTGGCCTGTACTCAAGCCTGGCTTGGCACCTCCCAAAGTTGGGGTGGGTCGGGCCAAAGTCTAGCTTGGCCGAGCCCAAGTGAGAGTGCCACCCAGGCCAAAACCAATGAGTGGTGCTGGTTGGTGTCGGGTGTGGTGGTTGGGTCGGGTTTTGTGGTTGGTGGTTCTGGTGAGCCCAGAGCTTGGGTTCGGCCAAGCCAGACTTGGGCTTGTGCCAAGATCCGGGCCACGTGCGAACTTCCAACTCAAGCCCCCTGGGCAATGGCCCAAGCCCCGGTGACACTTGGACACACGGGCCTTGGGCCAGTGCCCAGACTGGCTTGCAACACCATATAAATAAATACTTGGTCTAGAAATACTTTTGTCATTGGCAAGAATAAATAAATACTTGGTCTAGAAATACTTTTGTCATTGGCAAGATCACTAAGACAGATTCTGAAACAGAATGACCCATGTAAACAATTCACAAGAGATCAACGAGTACTTCATGTTAGTTTTCCGCTTTTTTTGATGGAAATACATACCTCTTCAAAACAGTCATTCTGATATTTATGACAGTGCCTACAAACTGGATGTTATTTTCCTCCACTGATGTGCACGAAATGGGTAATCATCTTAGATTCAGACATTTCTTAATAATGTTTTACTTGAGTGAGCATTTCCATGGGAGGGTTATCATTGAGCTTTGGATTTTCTGTGAGGGGAGTTTTGGATTATGCATGGTGCTGATTATCCTGGGCTGAACCCTAATCTACCCGGTTCCCCCCTCCGGGTATCCAGCCCAGGCGAGCCCTGTCATCCCTCCCCCTCCCTCTCCCCCCATTGTGTCTCGATCACCTCCCACGTGTCATCAACAAGAACATCACCAACCCATTTTTAGAACTTCACGAATCAGATAAACATTCACGCAAGATGTCTAACGCCGAACAAACATTTATCAGTGCGTGACTTTCACTCTTGTTTCTTCTTCTCGGCTTCACGATTCCCGCATGCTCTTCTAATCTGTCTTCTTCTTTTTTTTCCTTATGAAGTGGTCAAGGTGGACGGTGTCCAACGTTCACTCGTTGGAGAAATCCTAGGACGGTAAGCATTCGCATCTCCTTCATCTACTTTTAATTTGTTGTAAAGCCGATGATCACTTACACGAGTCTCGCAAACCCCGATCATGCTCGATCATAGATTTGAGCGTCGAGGATACAAAATCGCAGCCTTGAAGATGATCCATGCCTCCAAGGAGCACGTCGAGAAGCACTACGCCGACCTCAAGGACAAGCCCTTCTTTGGCGGCCTCACTTCCTTCATGTGCAGTGGTCCCGTCGTGGCCATCGTCTTCGAGGGCAAGGATGTAAGCACTCTGTCTATCCAGCCAGCTCTTGCGTGTCAATTCCCACGTGATCTGACTTCTTGTCTGTTGTCTGTGACGCGCGGCTTTTCAAACGTGATACAGGTTGTCAAACAGGGCCGGGCCATGCTTGGCGCCACCAACCCACTCTCTTCAGCTGCTGGTACCATTCGAGGCGACTTCGGTATGTTATATCCCACCCGTCCCATCAACTTATCTATTCTTGACTAACCTCTCCATTTGCGAATGCTTATTTTTTTCAGGTATCGACATGGGCCGTAACATTTGCCACGGTTCTGACTCGGTCGAATCCGCCAAGAAGGAAATCGGTATGTCATCAAAACCTTTGACTCTGTCGGCTCGATCACTAGTCCGAACTTGGTCTCACTGACTTGCTCACCTCCTTCCCCGTTACCTTGCCAGCACTTTGGTTCCCCGAAGGTTAGTACTCATCACTCCACTTTTCCAGATCCTGCTTTGCTCCAGGAGGCTGATGGACTTCTTATTCATTCTGATTTTTAGGTGTTGTTCAATACCGACTCACCGCCGACGCCAACGTATACGAGTAAATACGAAGGCTTTTGGTCGCTAGGGCCGAGCTTATAAAGTGGACTCGTAGTGTGTCATCAAAAATGTCCTAGGGCCTTATTGAAATACCAAGACAAAGTTTCGATGTCCCTTCTTGAATAATTTCAGTTGCTCAGCTTTGAAGCTGTTGAGTCTAATTCACAGCTTATTCACGTCTCTTTGAGAAAAGGGTGGCAAGAGCACATTGGCCTTAACGAAGCGAGTGACAAGATCACCACTTGAAAGTTATGGAATCTTAGATTCCCCCCGTGTTACTGGACACATGGTTACAGCTGCCAAGTGGCTGATCTTTTGCATGGTACAAGTAAGGACTCAAACCCACATCCCACCTCTAACTACTCCTAGCCCTAGCCAAGGCTGAAGTTGAGTCATACATCCCTACACTTCATAACAAACAGAAGGCTACGCAGACAGAAAAATATGAGGATTCATGCATTGTCATAGCTACTTTTCTTTGTGGAGAGGACATAAACTCCTGTTTGAGATTAATCACCAGATCTCATCTCACTCCCTTGACAGGTGAGGAGGAGAAAGAAAAATGAGCTCCCAAAATATATTCCTCCTCAATCAGAAAATTGAGATCTCAATTGACAACCTTATCACCACTTATATCCCTCAAAATGATGTGACGGCTGCCTAGTAATACTTCCAAGTCCAGCCCTATTCCACTATGCCCTTCATCCCAGCCCACCATGGTAAATTTGATGTTTAATTGTCATGAGGTATTTCATTAGATTTGCATCAAATTTTCAATTTGTGTGTATTTCTCTCAAACCACTCAATGTATGTAGATGTGTCATAATTTGACGGTATTTCCATTGAAGAAAAAAAAACTTTCAAGTTCACTACAGTATTTCTATACTTCCTTGATTAAAATTTGCATGATGAGAGTCGATTCTTTCAAGGTATCAAAAGCTTTACAATTCATCTAATGGTGTTTTGCTTGTTGAAACCTTCCACACCAGACAATAAAGAATCAATGCATGTTGGTCTAGATAAATTCATTACAGGTTGGAATCATTCCCCTTTCATAAGGGTATAAAAACTTTATAAATAACATGTTGTACATATGAATATGGTCTATTCTAAGATTGATAGATGATTGAGGTGGTAAAGGCTTTCATGGCTACTTTTTATTAATTGGGACAGTCCTAAGGAATACTCTTCCATTCCTTCCTGTTGCCCCGGTATGGGAGATGATCGCACCATACTGACATAACATTCTGAAATCAGTCAATGATCAATGAAATTCATACAATCAGAATAAAAGGCAAAATAATCATTACCCGCGTATCACATTTGGCAGTCATCTTTTTGAATATCGGGTCAAGTTGTTGGATTGAACTGTTCATTTTCAGATCAAAGTGTAAGTCTGATGATGCCAGTAGATCATAAGCTTCCTTTCAAGAACTGACGCCTTAATGATTGATCCATCCGACGTGAATACTTGTACCTGATTACGATGTGTCAGATCATCAAAACGCACCAGGTCCAACTCAGAAAGCGCGAAAGGGTGACAAGTAGACACATCTAGCTCACCTGGCATATTCCAACACCTTTTCTGGCCACATTAGTTGGGTTGTACCCGTCCAACGAAAAAGACCGATCATTATAGCTGAATATTGCACCGTAGGCTCTAACAGTACCAGTTAGTTTAACAAGCAGGATCAGTCATCAAGACGAAGACAGGGAGTGCACTCTAGATATCAGAAAAGGCATGACATACACGTTACAATCTACTTTCAATCCGGCTGCTGATTTCCTTGCGTCTGCGACCCCATAGCATGCTGGTTTTTCCGCTGGAAAGTCTTCCTCATAAACCGGGTCTTTGCCGCGGGGTCTGACCTGAAATGTGACCCCTGAAATAGTAGGGTGGGATATGGATCCGGCCTGGAGAGCAATTCAAGATTACACCTTGTTGGAATCAGGCAAACCAGTAAGGGGCACCCTGGCTTTTCCAAGCTGCCGGGATGTACAGGCGCAAAAAAAAAGGTAGACGTACGGTATCCTTACATTGTGTCAGTATCTTATTGATGCTGAGTTCAAATGAATCTTTGGAGCTAAAGATCAGAGGACTTTGCCAATCAGTACTTGAAAAATTAGATCGCGATTAGTAACCTCAGGGATCCTCTGCAGCTCACATGGGGCTGGGCACTTTACCCTTCGAGCTGAATACTATCTGTTGAGGAAGGCCAATCATCATTGTCATTATCAACTCGGGGAAGCTGGTTGAATACATTTGAAGTTGAACTAGACTCGTTAAATGAGGTTGAGCCGATGAGAGGTCTTACAACGCAGCTTCCGGAAGCCCTTTCAACGTGTGTTTCCACTCTATCCAAGATGTTTCCGGGCTCGTATAGCACCCGTTTCAAAGCTCTGATCCCATTCAAAATTGGAAACCAAGGGTGCGAGCATCAAGTCAGTAAAAGTCCCAGAGCCCCCTGAGCGGCCATCCTTAAGATTCGTGAAAGTGTTGTAGAGGCAGGAAAACAGGACGTACGTTTTGCAATTTTCGGGATTGAACTTGACGTTTGCGTTTTTATCACACTTTGGGGTAATAACTGAAATTTGCTGAGAGCTAGGGCCCGGTACCAAGCCGAGTACCGCAATGAAGAAAAAGCGATGAGTCCGCATAAATGTCTCTTTTTAGTGGCACTTGGCCTGGCTACAGTGCGAGCACAACACAGTGCAAAAAAATCCTACCCAATCAGTAGCAGAGTCCTATTAAAATCTCTTTCAGGGCTGAAAGGTGGGCTTTGAAACTAGTATGGTGGCAAGGATATGGTTATGGGTGTGAGAAAGGTTGATAAGTCCTTGGAAAGCTTTTGAATTTACTTAAATGATTAATTTAGCTCATTGAGTTTGCCAAGTAACCTGGGGCACTTTGCTAGACTCCGTCGCAACAATTTGTTTAGCCAAAGTTGCAAACTGAACCACTGCCCTGGTCTCTCGGAGACCGATAATCGCAGAAGGGGAGAGGGTGTCGGAGCCTTTTCCTCATTGCAGTTCATCGCCTCGCTTGGATTTGAAACAACTCCCTCTTAAAAGTGAATTGATGACATGTGGTGTTAGGTTAATGCCACAGAATGTCATCAGATTTCCTTGGAGTCTTGACCGCTACGCGCGCACTAAGTGGGGCCATGTGTTGCAATATTTGCAACAACCCACCCAAGTTTTGGGAACCACAACTGAGCAGGAACCATAATCCACATAGTGAACATTCAATCAAAAATGAAGAATAAAAGCAGCTTGTGAAACCTCATTTGGTAAGGAGTTACACTCAAAAACCTTTCCTGTTTGGATGCTTTGGTAAGTGGTAGTAGGCCTAAAAGACCGAAGTTGTGAATACAGTGCCAATTGATCCAAACTTCCTGTCAAGAAATATAGAATAGTTCTTTTGTCAGCTTGTCACTATAAATAGCCTGGTTCACAATAGCCAGTCATCAGCAAATATTTTAGCCATTATCAGCAAATCATTGATAAATTTTTGAATGCGTATTCCAGATACCCCCAGATTATTCCAAATCCATTCTAAATTTTTTTTGCTATCAGCAACTTTTAACAAGGTGGTCAGCCATTGGAACTGGCTATTGTGAACCGGGCTAATAGAACAAACTGACTTAATAATTAGATATGAAATTTAACAATAAATGATTAATAATAAAAGCAAGCCCGCTTGAAGTGCTGGAAACCGCAGCAAGCAGCTGAGAAGCACAGAGGAAAAACTCAACATTTGATGTAGACACAAAGTTTACAAGCATGTAGAAAGTCCCAAAAAAAAGAATTTTAACCTTCTAGCTGCAATATTATTGGATGTACTACACAGTCATGTACTCTCCATACAATTGGGGGGTTCTCAACCAGAATTTACAATATTTTTAAAGCACCTTTGAAAGTGTTTATTGACATCTTTTTCAAAAATGAAGTCAAAATCCCAAAGTCTTGTTGATGAGGACATCAAAATTGTCTATATAAACTGCACAAATTTCTAGTGTGAACCCCCCTAATGTAGCATCCAACCACCCACAGCATGTGTGACTAGCAGGATTATCAACTTTAAACATAGGGCTCAAAGTTGGCCCTTTTTTGCAGAATGGGCAGGTCTAGCAAGGGCAGTTTGCACAAGGTGCTTTGAGTGAAAGGGAAAAGTACGAGGTACTATCTTTGGTCTTGGTCTGACTTGTGGAGTCATTGTCTGTAAATGATAACTATGTAGTAAAATCAATGGATTTCCAGAAGCGTAGGAAGAAACAAACATGGGCAAACACTAGAGTTTATATACACATTAACAATAATGGTTGAGGTATAAAGTTCAGGTAATCATCAGATCCGTTGGTTGATGAGACTGAGAGATAATAGAAAACAAGCTTGTGTTGATACAGAGAAGAAAGAAGAAGAAACACAATGATACTTAGGGCCAGTACCATGGGATTCAATTTTGCAAATTGGGCATTCTTTCTGCCTTTACACAGAATTGGACAAGAAGTGGAGGGATCAAAAATTGAAATTCTTCACTTTTATGCCAAAAACTGGCTTCTGGTGATGCTCACTTTTGATGAAACATAAATTTGAGTAAGATAGATTCTAAAAAATTGGATTTTCATGCCCTATTGTACTGGCCCTAAGTTTGGGTTCTCAGGTTTTCAAGAGACTGAGTGTTGAGACAATGATGATGGAAGGAAAATGGATGTGTGATTCTGAGTATGTGATCACACAGTAGTTGTGACAGCAATGTCAGTTTATGCCATCTGAAACTGTATGCAAACTAAATTTTCCATCTTTCAATATTTGGCTCTTCATTACAGTTGCAAACATCAATAACCTGTACTGACCCACCTGCAAAATTGACAATTTGCACGCGGGCCCTCATGGTAGGGGGCACATAGGCTCAAACCCCCACCTGACCACAATTTTGAGTGTTTCAGACCGAGGGGGGTTCAGAATTAACTCTGTTAAGGCATCTGACCAACGGTTCTTTTTTTTCTTTTTTTTTCTCCTGCCCATTGGACCTGGTCTATAAATGCTTTAACAAGTACATATGTATGGATTTAAAGGTGATTATATGGCTTAAAGAAGGCCATAAATGACATAATTCCATGCTTGTAATCCATACCCAAATGTCAAAAAGGCTTGAAGCAATGCAAACCTCAGGTCGGAGTTGAACACACAACCTTTGACAAGGCCACAAGCCACCCAGGAACACTAGACCAAAGCACATATGACTTCCAAAGAGCCTAGCCGTTTCTTTCCAGGTCAGAAAATTTCCTGATTTGGTAGTGTCCTCACCAAAAAAAAAATGCAAAAATTTGGTCCCCAACCGCCTGGGCCCAAAAAAAATGTGGTTGGTTAATGATGTTTGCAACTGTATATAGATAGCCCTTCATGACATGTTTGATATATCCCTGGTCTGTCTGAGATTTTATATCTCAAACAAGCTCATCACCATGTATATCCCTCAAAACAAGGTGATAACCAGATTTAATTGCCCAAGGGTAGTACAGCCAAACCAAAAATACACTAGGGGGTATCAAATATAAGAAATCCACCATCAGAAAACAGTTAATTATCCTTTTTTTCACCAATGGGTCCCCAAAGGCGCAAGATAAAGAACCAGCATGTTGAAAGAATGGTGGGGTTTTCAAAACAATTCAATTAAATAATGGTGGATTTGCCTATATTTGATAACCCCTATTATTGGCAGATGGAATGTTTGGAATAATACATTACCCTGTATGAACACTTACATACAGTGTTCACTTTTGCTTACACTATCTTTTTTGTCTCTCATTTCTGGGTCACAAGGGTAAGACCATTGGACTCCTCATGGGAAACTTGGTCAACAGTGCTCATCATGTTCCACTGCCCCTACCCCTGCCCCTGCCCACCAGTATTCTGGCTGGTCGGGTCCCGTCTGTGCTCATCTATACCACTAGTAAGAATTTTGGAACCTATACACCAGCTATATTATTCCAAACCTTCAGACTGCAGCAGCAGCTGTTTTTTTCTTCTTTTTTTGAAAATTCCGCCTACCAAGACTACAAGCTTTCTTGGTTTGGATGTAATACTTTCAAGCTCATTTCTATTATATAATTAACCAACTTCAACATGGCAAATTTTAAATTTTCATGTGGTATTCCATGAGATTGTCATCCAACTTTCCATGGGGTTTTTTAGATTATTCTACAGTTGCACAAGGCATCCTACTGTACAAGCTTGCCCAAAAAACATTTCTTGATACACGGGGCCCATGTCTACAATCCCAATTCTCAGCTGTGAATGTGGGAACTCTGACATTCCAACCACATTTTTGATCTGTTTGATGTTCTTGTTGGGGTATAGTTTTAGGTTTAGTTTATTTATTTTTGATGTGTTTATAATAGACTAAAGTGAAGACAATGGTGTTGGTGGTAGTTGTTGTGAGGTGATGATGGGGATATGTGTGTGTTTATGTGAGTAAGTTGATAATATAAGATGATAGAATGAATGAGAGATACAAATGGAGGAAAAGGCAACTGGTATTTATACTCCATGAATGCTGAGCAAATGTCCAAGCAGCAGACATTCTATATGGGAAAGCTCCAGGAGCTTTTCCTTCCAAGAAATTAATTATACTTCTCTTCTTTTAGCAGGAATGATCCAGTCCTCTGGTGAATTACTCCATGCTCAGCAGGTGTGGCAGCAGGCACATTGCCGCTGATGCCATTGCTGCTTATATTCCCTTCTACAGGGATTGCACCTTCAACATTTGAAGCATTTGCCTTCCATTTCTATGAGGGCTAAGGTTTCTGACCAGCCATATTTTTGAGCCTTGAGGTACAAACATTGGCTCAAATACATAATTTCAAGCTCAATAACTTGAAATATTGAGTATGGTCTTACATACCTAAACACATAAGTATAGGAAACCTAAACCAATTTGATAGATATGGGTACCAGACTGCATCAGAGCCTATTAGAGCATCTCTAATGACTCAAGATTAGTTAAAAAAATAATTAGAAGGCAATAAGTGAAGGGTCTTAGTTGATCAACTCCCAAATATTTGGGACATTGAGAGGACTGGCTGCAGACAGCCTTCTCAATGTCAACCCCCCTATCTTTTCCCCCCCAGTTTTTTGGGAGCCATAAGTCCAAAAGGTCCAACTTGTTCGAGAGTTGGACCTCTGAGAAAAATGACAGATAAAATAAATAAAAAATGGAATTTCTGGCAGTTGGGAAGGTTACTTTTTTTTCTTTCTGGTGCCAACTTGCAAACCACCTTGGGGTTTGGGAGAATTGAATCCCAGAAAACCCCAGGGGAATTGCTTTTTATTTATTTATTTTTTGTATTATTATTTTCAGAGGTCCGCCGACTCCCATACAATTCAGACATCACATGTATTCTCTTGATAGATTTCACTGTGGTGCAAAATTTCAATATCAGTTAGCACTTAAAAAAACAGGTGGTCCGGTTCTCAGCTCAGATCTCAGCCATGACCAATTCATCTGATTTCCTATGGCATGACCTGAACCATTCAATTTGGCATTTAGTTCCAGCAACAGGTTGGTACTGCCTACTCAGCCTCTTTTCACTCATGGTTGTCTGTGATGAGACCGGGCTTGCCTGTTGGATTAGCATTGGTAGAACTCATCTCCTTCCCAGCTCCACAACACATCTTGCCTCACCCAGTCTGTGACACTGTACAGTGGGTGGACCGTTCTTTTTGGCTGCTTGTTTTGGATTCCAGAGCTTTGAAGCACAAACTTGAAGTCACAAGAATTGGTGAAGTGGTGCAGAATAGGTCCCAAAGAATGAATATGAAAAAATAAAAACAAAAAACAAAGTTCCAAAATTTGTGAAAAATAAAAAATAAAATTTATTTTTCTCAAAAGCTTGGAAATTCATTTTGTGGGATTGAGAGTGCTGAGAGAAAGGAAGATTGGGATATTAGAAAAATGATTATGAATGAAAATTTTGGAAAAATTGCTTTCCAGATGGCTTCAAAGAGCTGTTGATTGGGGCATTCACCAGCCCACATTGCAGTAAAGCACTAGAATTTACTGTTTTGGCTCTAATCTGGACAACCAACCTGGCCAAACCTTTTTCGGTTCCAATTTTTTTCATTTATAATCATTCTTCCCATGTTCCACTCTTTCTTTCTCTCAGCACTCCCACTCCCCAAAAATCAATAACAAAGCTTTTGGAAAAAAAACATTTTTATTTTTTATTTTTCACAAATTTTGAAACTTTATTTTTTGTTTTTATTTTTTCATATTCATTCTTTGGGACCTATTCTGCACCAATTCACCAAGTCTTGTGACTTGGAGTTTGTGCTTTGAAGCTGTAGAACCCGAAACAAGCAGCCAAAAATAACGGTCCACCCACTGTACACAGCCAATTTTACTCAGTTTACTGCATATCAGAGCCAAAAGACGTTTGGGGAAGAACCCTTGGTCCTAAAATTGCATTCAGGGATCGCCGGGATCCCCGGGGGGTACTTCTTGTATGGCAGGATGCCTTGCGCAACTGTAAGGATAATTAATCTAGATGTGTGATAATACAACACTATCTGATTTTTAAAAAAATGTCATTCAAGTTTCCTGTGGTATACAGATTATTTCTTGTTTATAATTTGCATGATGTGAGAGAATTATTCCAAGGAATCAAAACTTTTACAATTCATACAGTGATCAACAGTGGGCCAGATGCACCAACAGTAGCATTGGTGTAGCCAAACGTAGCAGAATTCTGCTAAATTTTAGTGTGGCACTGTCAGAATTCTGCCCTGACTGCAATAACACTACCCACATAAGCCACAACAAAAGTGTCCACTATGCTTTGCTACAGCACATTCCAGCAGTTTTTTTTGGCCCTTTTTTCTGCTAAAAGTGCTGTAGCGCAGTGGAGTGGGACTAAGAGCATGCCAACACTGCAGGGTTGACACACTGTTTTGAGAACCGATACACTAACATTAGTGGGCCATTTAGCATAGTGTAGTGTGGCAGCCCATTGCTGCAGTGATGGTTTGCTTGTTGAAACATTCCAAGCTAGGCAACCAAAATCAATGTGTTTTGGGTCTGAATAAATTCATTACAGGTTGGGATCTTTCGTATTTCAGGCTATAAAAGCTTTATAAATAGTATAGTTTACATATGAATGAGGCCTAAGATTGGAACATGATTTAGACGGTAAGCAAGGCTTTTGGTGTGGGATGTTGTAGTCCAGTCAAAAGAAAGACTACTTTTTGCTGTCTGGGACAGTCCTCAGGAATACTCTTCCGTTTCTTCCAGTTGCCCCGGTGTTGGAAATGATGACACCAAACTGATAGAGGATTCTGAAGTCAGTTCACTATGAAATCAATTGATAAGATCTAGAGAATAAGCCAGAAATCAATCTTACCCGCTTTTCACATTTAGCAGTCATTTTTTTGAATGTTGAGGTAAGTTGTTGGACGGAACTGTTTGAACGCAGAGGAAGGAGTAAGTGTGATGATACCAGTAGATGATAAGCTTCTTCTGATTCCTGAAGCACTGACGCCTTGATGGTTGAGCCATCTGATGTGAATACTTGTACCTGATTACAATATGTGAAGGCATGGAAAAACTTGTTAGGGTTATAATGACTCATCCTCAGCAAGTCGAAAAGGGTGTCGTGGAAACCAATTTGGCACACCTGACATATTCCAACTGTTATTCTGGCCACATTAGTTGGGTTGTACCCGTCCAACGAAAAAAACTGGTCGTTATAGCGGAAGATTGCATCGTAGGCTCTACCAGTACGAGTCAGTTTAACAAACAGGATTAGTCATCAAGTTGAAACCAGGGAGTGCACTCCAGATATCAGAAAATGCGTGTCATACACATCGCAATCTGCTTTCAATCCGCTGAGCGATTTGCTTGCGTCTGCAACCTCATAACACGCTGGTTTTCCCGCTGGAAAGTCTTCCTCATAGACCGGGTCTTTGCCACGGGGTCTGACCCGAAAAGTGACCCCTGAAATAGAAGGGTGAGATATGGATCCGGCCTAAAGAGCAAGTCAAGATTACATCTTTTTTGGAATCAGGCAAACCTTATAAGGGAGACCCTGGCTTTTCCAAGCTCCCGGGATGTACGAGCGCAAAAAAGAAGGTAGACGTACGGTATCCTTACATTGTGTCAATATCTTATTGATGCTGAGTTCAAATGAATCTTTGGAGCTAAAGATCAGAGGACTTTGCCAATCAGTACTTGAAAAATTAGATCGCGATTAGTAACCTCAGGGATCCTCTGCAGCTCACATGGGGCTGGGCACTTTACTCTTCGAGCTGAAAACTATCTGTTGAGGAAGCCCGATCATCATTGTCATCATCAACTCGGGGAAGCTGGTTGAATACATTTGAACTAGACTTGTTAAATGAGGTTGAGCCGATGAGAGGTCTTACAACGCAGCTTCCGGAAGCCCTTTCAACGTGTGTTTCCACTTTATCCAAGATGTTTCCGGGCTCGTATAGCACCCGTTTCAAAGCTCTGATCCCATTCAAAATTGGAAACCAAGGGTGCGAGCAACAAGTCAGTAAAAGTCCCAGAGCCCCTGAGCGGCCAGCCTTAAGATTCGTGAAAGCGTTGTGGAGGCAGGAAAACAGGACGTACGTTTTGCAATTTTCGGGATTGAACTTGACGTTTGCATTTTTATCACACTTTGGGGTAATAACTGAAATTTGCTGAGAGCTAGGGCCGGGTATCAAGCCGAGTACCGCAATGAAGAAAAAGCGATGAGCCCGCATAGAAGTCTCTTTTCAGTGGCACTTGGCCTTGCTTACATAGCGAAAGCGTTCTACCCAATCTAGTAACAGAGTCCTATTGAACACTCTTCGGGGCGCGAAAGTTGGTTTCGAAAGTAGTATGTATGGTGGCAAGGACAGGGTTATGGAGAGACCGGAAGTGCTCAGCAAGCTTATCAATTTCCTTCAATAATTCATTCATCTCGTCGAGTTTGCCAGGTAACCTGGGGGTACGGAAGCCCAGGGGGGACACGCATCGGCTCAAGACATTTTTCAATTTTCAATTTTCAAATGTCGGGTTTTCATAATACAGATGGCCTGTATACACATGGGATTCTGAAACATTCCATGTTTCAAGATCTCGAACCCCAAGTTCCCAACCATCATGTTTCCGATGGCAAAGATCAAACATGTATGAGAGTCGATCCTGTTTGCCATCGGTCATCCAGCTGGATTGAAATAACAAATCACAAACCCGTGATAATGGCAGACAAAAAGTGACCACCTCAAAATGGTCCACCAATTCTTGAAACGATCTACTCATTGATCAATTCAAATATTTCTTCCCGTAGCTGCCCTTGGGAGAAGCGCAACCACAAGTTGGCCATGTCGCCCCAATCAATTTTCATCACTTAGCTAGGTATTACTTATTTATGATAAAAACCAGACCCGTTCAAGTGGTTGTTTGTAGGTCACCCACTCGAGCCATTCTGACGTTCACCTTTTCGAAATGCCTACATGCAACAGATGTACCAAGTTCTTTAATCAACTACAGTTTGGATGGTGCTTTGAATGCCTCCAGTCTCATGTGGTTATTAATCCCGAAAATAGGCCTAACAACTTTCCTGCTCCACCGTCCAACATCTACAATGTTGTGCCACCAGCTCCGCCGTGGACTCCTTCCCAGCCGGTTCCATCTGCTCAGGGCTCATTCCAAGTGCCAATCCAAGCCTCCCAGCCTATATCGCAACCCTCTGGTTCCGTTGATCCAACCCCTCCTAATCCGGCATGTGCTGGATCTAATGCTTATTTCCGGGGTGCTGTAAAGGAAAAGCGTCGAAAGAAAGCTGCAACTACCCCCTACACCAGGAAAAGCAAGCCAACACCACAGGCCAGCGCTGCAGATGAGCATACCCGTATCATAAGTGGGGGAATAGCTCTCTACCAGCTGACCAAGCTCAACAAAAACACTGGAATTCGCAGTCGAATGCTCCCAGTGAACATTGAATCACCGAACTTATATGAAGATCTTCAACAGCGTCTATGGGATTTATTATCCCCCGAGCTCTTGAGTCGACAGTTGGTAGAAATGCTTCCAGATAATCCTCTCCAGTACACCTCTTTGAGCCATAACCAAAATGTTCTTGATCTTCCGACACTATTACTTTTGGTACAAAAGTCAACTGTGAAGAGACCAGCCCATATTGATCTCACCTACGAAGATCCTACCGATGAAATTCCAACCAGTATCAATACTAGTACTTCTACCTCAAGAACTACCCGCATCACTCGTACTCGTGCGGCTCCCGGTAACCCAAAAGATTTAGCTTCCAATGCTACCGATCTGACTTCGGTAACTGGTAACGACACATGGGCCCTAGGTGGTACAGCAGGTGAGATCGCTTCTTTCAAATCAAATAGAAGAGTATGCTCACCAACGTTAACCTTCAATTTGCTATAGGAACTATCCCAGCCCGTGGAAATGCAAGCCTTTCAACCCGCTTGAATTACCTTGGAAAACCCCTATCGGCATCGATCAACATAAACCCCAAGGGTTGGATTGTTTCCCAAAGGTTGAAATTCAACAGTTCTGATAGTGACTATGCAAGGAAGCGAGCATCCCATCTCTACCAGTACCTTCAAGCCACCACTGTTCCCATCACAATCAAAGTGGACAAAAATTCACTGGTTGGTCAGGGTAGCATGCGAAAAGCATACTCAGCTCAAGTTAAGACGGAGACTCAGAATGGTCAACCACGTATTACTAACTGGGTAGCTAAAGTTCGATATTGGGACACTAGTCCTGATTTGAGGAAACATGCGACAGATGCTCGAATGTATGAGGCATGCGGACACCTACTCCGAGCTTACCAAGAAGAAATCAAGAATTCCGATCACCCCCTCCTCACATCAGTCCTGCGAAAAAAAGCAATTGCTTTTGAAGTTCGTATTTTGATCCACCTCTGTCCAGTCACCCTTCTGTGCAAGCAACACATCTGATGATATCACTTTGGTTTTTTTGTCAGCTTGTTCGACATTGCATTGTATTCACTGGCGAGGAAGGGTTCCCCTCAGATGTATTTTTTTTAGAAGCCGCTCTGCAAGGCAGCTATGTGAAGTACTCAAGCAACGTAAACTTTTCAGTCACATCCAATCAACCTGGATTGGACATCGACAACTTAACTCTGATGTCGGCCTTTACACACTGGTCTTATGTCAAATCCAATGGCAACAGCCTTATATGTGACCTTCAAGGTGCTGGTTCAATCATCACCGATCCACAAATACTGGACCGGGACAATGGGTAAGTACTGAGTCATCTCCATCCCTGTGAGCAAATAACCCTGATTAATTTTGAAAATTTTCAAGTCGTTGGGCAGATGGTAATAATGCCTCGGAAGGCATCAAACATTTTGTTAAAAATCATCGATGCAACAATGTTTGTGAGGCCTTGAATTTACAGCCTCCGGATCAATTTGTCCCGGTCTCCAGCAGTCAAACGGAAACGAGGAACTTTGGAACTGAAGTCCGGACTAACATCAGGCCTGGACCCGCTTCCTTGGCATCAGTCCCCAACAGACCCTTACCTCGCCGGGCATCCTTAGCAAATTTATTACATTCCGACAATACTCGCCCAACAGGGGATTTTTTCAACTCCCAGGCAAGGGAGCAGGAAGATGAAGATGAAGATGCGCCTCTTCCTGAGTTGCATACGTTCCTATCGCAAAGGAGTCGCCCTAGAGCTGACAATTACACCCACAATACTTGCACCAGTTAGGAACTCATAACTATTGTGTATCGCTATTTTTCATGTCACAAAATGTTTGTCATTTGTGCAGTTTCTTGATTTGTTCATCTGTTGGTTGGGAAAATATGCCACTCTTTTTTGTGTCTCCTCTATAATCTCACATCACTATTGTTAATATCATCACACTCGTTAACATATCTTAATATTAAGATCTTGGCCCTCATCATACCAAGTTTCTTGAGTGAACTCTCTGTCGATGAGAGCCTTCTAGCTAATGGTCAATAGTTGACATGGCTAGTTGGACATGTCTGCCAAACATCAGACTCTTGGCATGGCTGTTTTGTGAATGAAAACCGGACCAAGCTGAGGATACATATATCATCTGACTACACTTGAATGACACTCAATATTATTATTCTTGTTTTGGCAGATCGATCTTATTGGATATTAGTGGGACAGAGAAACTCCTATGCAATGAAACCTATACTCTCTGCATTTCATATTCATCGGCTACTTGCTCAAGAGGTAATAATCTAATTCAATTGTCTTTTTCAGGTTAACCATTTTTCACTATGATTGATGGAGCTGATGATCTTGAATGATTCCTTTCTCTGTGGGGAAAAAAAAACGTGACGAGAGTAGAGATACATTGAATAGCACGTTTCAACAGACTGATAATAAGATCGAAGGCCAGGCTCATGAAGTCGTTTCGATCGTCTTTAAAGGACTGGCTAAGAAGAAAATCATCTTCCCACAAAACTTTTCAAGGTGGGTATTCCACTGATCTAATCTTCGATCCAATGATCATTGAGGTTCATTTTTGTTTTTCCACACAGTGCAAATGGACAATCAGCAATCAAGTGTAACATGAAAGCGAACAAATGATTGCTGTACTTTCTAGACAAATATGTGCTGTGTATTTCGAAACAGTCGATTTGGATCAAGCTAGCCGATCTGCATTCGGTGAAGTTTGCGCGAGTGGGAGGGGTGCTCCAATCGGGGCGATTAAGGTCGACAGAGAACCGCGTGCACTCCTTATTACTGATACTAAGAGAGTCCGAGTTCGAGCCTCTGTCGTCGGTTGACGGGGTTGCCGGCCGACGACAAGTCCTTGATGATGAAGGTAATGATGCTTGTTTTGGGCTGAACAGAGGAGCTTTTGGCGGTCATTGCCAGGTTGATTTTCCTGTTGAACTCGAATTTGCCCTGTCGCCGGTAAACGTCGTCTCATTGTTGTAGGCTACTTCCGGAACCCTTGGTACTAGGAAGTAGATCAATAGGACCGCCCTGGTACATAAGATATCACTAACATCAGTTTTCTTTTCTTCTTCTCTCTATGTGGATGAGTGAGAGGGATTAGGGGGGGGGGACCTACAGTAAGAGTGAAAAGAGCAGCAAAACGAGCGCGATGACCCTTGTGAACCATCCCCCAAGCCTCTTCTTCCGGCTAGGAAGGCGCGGAACTGACTATAGACGACCTGCTTCTTACTACGGATCTTCTGCTTGCGGTCGAGCCATTTCGTCTTATCGATCAGGGTGTCCTTGCCCTCCCAATCCTTGTCGCGCTTGGATTTGTCTTTGGTCCAGTCGGAGCCAAGGGCGGGCATCTGGACCAGGTCCGAGGGCGAGGGCTTGTAGGTCATCATTGTCGGCGAGATTTGCGAATGCATCGTCGAGTGTTGTTGCGAGTCTTCGGGCGGATATCGGTACGATTCGGATCTGGGTTCAGTTGTAGTCGATTACTAATCAATTTTCTAATTATCAATCCAAACTCATATCAGACTGACCGTCAATTAGATAAAGGCTTTTCATCCGAAATTGATCAGACGGACTCGCCTTTGGTTCGTTCGAAATCAAATCAATCAATCGATCGTCAGACAAATCGATCTACGACCGCTTCTCCACATCCAAATAACACTGGCTTTTCGATAGGTGCTCATATGCACGACCGATAACTCTCCACTCATTGTGTAAGTTGTCAATCTTGGCCTCCCTCCGCTTGCATATAGACTAAGGGACTGTTTGGATTCAATTACCCAAACCCATTAGGACTTTCGGAATCAATCGCTGAACGACCAACCAGACTTTCCGAATCGGTTGCTGAACAACCACCCTGACTATTCCTATTCAATTACTGAACCATCAGATTATTAACCCTGAAGCAACAGATTCTAGATCACTCAACTGATCGATAGCTGAACGATCACTGAACGAGGACATCAGGCCGATAAATCCCTTTGGATTGGAGCGTCCCGAATCAATCACTGAACGAATACCGATCAACATCCGATCTTGTTTTGGTTCTGGTTCAACTCGGTCACCCCTGCAATTAAGGGTCTTCAATCTACTTAGCCCCCACCACCTCGCTTGACGATAACAACCTACACCATCTAGGGCTTCAACTACCCACGAGTGTAAGCAACCATGGTCCTCAATCCACTTCATCTAATCTGACTAAACGCTGCTGACCGATTCCACCACTTGACAAGCAACAGCCCCCCTGGCGTCGTTTTTCCTGGTCGGCCACCTTCTTGACACTCTCATAGGCCCCCGGAACCGATTTTGCTTATCCGATCGATTGATTCTTCCTGGATCGATCGCTCACCGATTCAGAGCCACCTGAAATCAAATCGGTCTCTTCGGCAGCCGATTTGCTAGCCGATACATACCTAGCCTATCGTTCAATTTGGACTGTTCCACATCGATTGCGCACGATCTTCAATTGGATCGGTCTCTTCAGCCCCTGATTTGCTGGCCGATCAAGACAAAGCGGATCATTCAAATTTGAACATTCCGCATTGATTGCTGAACGCTTGATAATCGGATTGGTCTGTTCACCCCCCGGTTTGCTGGCAGATAAATAGAAAGTTGACCCAATTCAACCGTTCTGACTTGATTGCTGATCCACCTGAAATCAAATCGATCTCTTCAGACTCGATCTCTGCACGATCTTCAATTGCATCAGTCTCTTCAGCCGCCGACTTGCTGGCTGATAAACACAAAGTTTAGCCAATTCAAGCCTTCCGACTTGATTGCTGATCCACCTGAAATCGCAGCGGTCTCTTCAGCCCCGGATTGGCTGGCCGATAAAGACATCAATCACTGATCGATCTTGCCTGACCCAACTTCAGTCAATATCAGCAGCTCCCATCAATCCTTAATCGACCTGATAACAGTTGACGACCAATTCTAGTTCAACCGGCCCAAACCCCCCAGCGTTTGGTGAGTAACTTCAAGTCATGATTGGCTTTCAACTTGATGTGATATTAGGATTTCTTCAACTAACATCTTGGTCTCATTTGATCTTTCCATGTAGCATATAATCCGGTTTTCCCAGGAATCCCATCATGCAACCAATCCCTTCTTCCCTACCCGATGGAGAGAGTGTCACCATCCCAGAAAAAAAATTGACGTAAGTAATACTCATCCTTCCTAAACCCTGCCAGTTACTTTCCCCCCTCTCTTTTCACCTTCTTCATCATTCCCTGTCCTCAGTTGGTTACCCCCAATCCGCCCGCATATGGGATTGTAATCCTTGATTCACATGTCCTTCCTGTGAAGGGTATTAATCTTGGTATTGTTGAATTTTCCTCAGTTCTGTCTCTCTCTGCCCTTCATCCATTTCTAGTCATCTTAAATCAGACTAGATTATATTCTTCAAGTAGCTTGTTTTTGGTTATTCTGAGCCCCCTTCTGAGTCAAATTTGAACCTTAAGTAAATCAGCCTTTTTAACTACTCATGTCTCTAAGATGGATTCTTCTTTTTTCTGACTTTATTATTGATTTATCAAAGATTGATTAATAAGAATTAACGCCTCTTGTTATCTGTGATTTAAAACATTTTTTCTTGATTAACTCATCTGACATTACTAAAAGAGAATGAGATGTTTTGCATAGTTTGTTACTTCCAAGAACTTGTTTTATCTTCTCTCAATTTTTATTCAAAATACTTTTTTCTTATTCATTTTTCTCAAACCACATTTTGACCACTTGTAACTAGTCTACTTAATCTAGCCTGCCTACAGTGAATAAAAATCATCGGTTCTTCACACTCCTTTCCGTGAACCTTTCCCAAAGAAGAGTCCTTTCCTTTTTTGGCCCTCATCCTCTTACGCGCCTGAGTCTTAAAATTTCAACAGGTATTATAATACGATAGGAGTAATCTTCATAAATTCAAGGGGCCTCTGTTGGTTACCTTCAATCCGCCCGCATATGGGATTGTAATCCTTGATTCACATGTCCTTCCTGTGAAGGGTATTAATCTTGGTATTATAATATGATTGAAGTAATCTTCATAAATTCAAGGGGCCTCCAATGGTTCCCCCCAATCAGCCCACATATGGGCCTATGATGGCTTTCTTGTCTGCTCCGGTTTCTTAATAATAAACTAATTAAAAGTTTCTATCACAATATCCCACCATGTTCAATACTCCTCTGTTTAATAACCAAGTGGGCAGCAAATTGTTCGAAGGAATCAAAAAAAGAAAAACCAGAAGAAACGTAAATTCAAAGCGGATACGGAGTTGGCTGGGTTCACAACCAATTTCCACCCTGAAACCAAGACCATGAGACGGGAACACATCCATTTGGACCTGTATCCAAATTACCCACCTCTGGACAACACTAGGCCGGGCCAGAGGGCAACACATCCAACTCCCGCCGACTTCCAAGCTGCCGAAGAACTAATTCTCAAGGACTTCAGCTTAATCAGTTATGGCCGACTTGCATTGTACGAATGCCCTCCAAAAGCCGACCCAAACACCAACCCGGAAGTAGATCCCAGTCCACCCGAGCCATCCGCGGTTACCAATGAATCGGGCAAGCCACCAAAACCTGAAAAGCCAAAATGTACTTTCATCGCTTACATTCAATTCACACGCTCGGAGGATCTTTCTGAGGAGGACAAGAACGACCTCGACTTCATCACCACCTTCCTTCATGACTCTACACGATTTGTTAATCCTGTCGACCTCATTCACAAGATCTTTCGCGGCAAGATGTGGACCATTGGCTGGCGCAAGTCACAAACTCGTGGTGAAGTTGCTGGGAGATACATCGATACAGCAGGCATCACTCAAAACCCCCTAGCCTATTTAGATAAACTCATCAACGGCATTTCTGCAAGTGATATAATACACAAGCTTTTTTATTCAATTGCGGATGCCGCTGTCGATGCCGCAAATGTGTTACTTACTTCTTTAGGGCTTCCAGGCTACTGTGATCCCAACTTGAAGCGATCAAACAATAATTGCTTTGCCTCCAACTTGGCTTTTACTCGAGATGAATTTTCCAACCGACCACACTGTGATGACGATAAAACCAAGAACGCCTTTTTGTTACTTTCAAATATCAACCGAGAGGATGGTACCATTGCCCTTGCTGGTGACAAAGATTCTACCTTCACAGGTCCTTTCTTTGTTTTTCCTCATCACAGAGTAGCCATAGACTTACGCAAATTAAATGGCATCTGCCGGGTAGTATTTGATGCTGGCCAATTTGAACATTGTACTCATAATGCTCAACCATCTCATCCAACTCTCACTTCATTTGGCTTCTCTCTTCAAATCACCAAAACTTGTGTTGATGCATTTCAAAGCATATTTAGTGGATTTTATAACAATAAAAAAACCAAGGATGGTGGAGATTATTATATTGGTGATCACAATTACTTATACAATAAAGTCTCCAAACTTGTTTCAAAGCTTATTTAAATTGTTTTGTCTTTTCCTAAAGTAGTTACATTTCTCCTCATGATTGGTCCAGTTCTATTAGTCACTTTCCATGAGTTAGAATGGAGATCATAATTGCAAATAGGCTTTCTGAATTGTTTCATCTTTAACCTTTTATTATCTTACCAGAACCTTCACTCTCAAACATTTCAGTTTTCCCTCATTTTATCACATTTTTCACCATGCATCAATGCATTTTGCACATTTTTAATGAGTTGGTAATGACCACCAAAAATAAGACAACTTTTTTAATACATCCCAACACTTTCCTGAGTATATTGAGTTGGAAAATATTAATGAAGTGTTCAAGTCCTGGGAGTTGGCAGATATTGACCCAGGTGTGACCAGTCAAATGTCCTGACCCTTCTTCTCAACATTACTAACCCTTCAGGCAAATCACATGAGCATGATTTGGACAACCAATGTGTTTTAAGATTATTGAGCTGAGGTATGGGAAAAAAGCAAAACAACAATCAAGATCTGATGGGATGAATATTTTCAAGTTTTTGCATGCCTGACTCAGAAATACAAATATGGCTTGATGAAGTTTTTGGTTAATCCACACATAACATATATCTTATTCAGCACCTTCATTCTGCTGTTCATCATGAGAATCTTCAGTATCATAATCAGACTCTTCGTCATCTGGTGAAGGGGGAATCTCTAGGAGATCAACTGGGGAAGGTGGATAGAGTGTGAAATGTGCTTGAATGTGTGGAATCATGTGTCCAAAAACATTCCACACGTTCCCTACAGTAATGTGGTCAAATCGGATCCCAAGTTGGGAGAGTAATCTTGATGCAACGTTGTGGAACCAAGGTGGGGTGTGGGTAAACATACTATCAATGTTGGGGTAATCATTTGTTAAGTAGTTGTTTACTCGGTCAACATCAACAACCACCAGTTGATCTGTGGTGCCAAATGCCTCTGGTGTGCTATAGGAGAAATCGGGAGAGCAACCGGTCGGAAGACTTATGTTGTGGTCCTTTCGCTTACGAGAGTTGTTCGTGAGATCAACCCAGATATCCACACTTGCTTGGAATACCGGGATCCAGAGGAAAAGGAAGAGTAGCCTGTTGGGTTATATCAGCTAAGATCTCCTCATAATTCAAGTGAGTATACTTACTTTTGAATTGGATCTTCACGGTCATACACACCAGCCTCAATGTGACTCCAAATGTTGTCAATGATTGATCGGTTGTGCTGTTTCATCATCTGAGACCATAATGCTTCAATTTTTTGATTTCGGGTGGACTTGGTGTGATGCATCCGGTTCTTGGCTTCCTCAAGGGTGATTCCAGCAAATTCATGAGAGAGCTTCATTTGATACCATGACATATCAGGAGTCTCTGTACCATGGTCAGCAGTGACCTTCCGAGGGACTCCACCTACTTTTTGGACCAATTGGAGGAAGTACACTCCAATATGACGAGGATCATTATTTGTGACGTGGACGTGGAGGCCTAGGATTTTTCGAGACCAGGCATCAATGAACCCGTAGACCGTTATGCCGAACTTTTTCAATTTGTCGTGGCCATCACAAGCCCAAACGTGGTTTGGTCCATGGGTCCTGAAGATGCGACGTTTGCAGGTTTGCCGCAATCGGGCAGCCATGCCTTCTGGATCAATATGTTTGAGCGCATCATAGACCATTTGCCTGTCCATAGAATGCTCAATTTCAATATGGATGGTTTGAAAATTGCAAATGGACAACTCACCTGGGAATCTGAATTTTGTAGTTTCTCAAGAGGATGGTTCTCATTCTCCTATAGCCAGCTTGGTCTTGTAGTAAGTACTCTCGTGCATGTGCAACAGCTTCATACACTTCCACCATGGTCACCTTGCCATCCGCCACATCGTTCCGGAGGATTTTCACTTGTAGTTGGTTCATATAACGCTTGACAGTCCGTGAGCAGACACTAACACCGGTCTCATTGTTCAATCGAGCTTGTATTTCTTTTAAGTTGAGGCCTTTTGAGTGGGATGACAAGATGGATGCTCGGACCATGGGATCAAGGAGTTTCGGGGGTTTTTGTGGAAGGTCGACTTGCCTAAGTGCCCAGGTCTGCCGTTTGCGAGTGAGGGTACTAGCTGACATAGATATGCCATGCTGTTCACGAAGGATTTGTAGAATCTTGGGTCCTTTGTGACCAGATGTTAAGAGACTTTGGACTATCGATTTCACCAGATCATCAGATGTGAGAGTGTCACAATTGTCTTCGATGGTGGATTGATCAGATTCTTCGGGGTTTGGGTCATCATCTGTACCAGATGTGTCGGGGTAATCAGATGTTAAGATATCCATTATGGTGATAGGATAGGATTGTTAGAGGGTGGATAGAACGAGGACTTCAATTTTGAGCTGAGTTGCGATTGGGTCTTGGGGGTAATCTCAATGTATTTTTCCATGTAATTTGTGATTTGTTATTTCAATCCAGCTGGATGACCGATGGCAAACAGGATTGACTCTCATACATGTTTGATCTTTGCCATCGGAAACATGATGGTTGGGAACTTGGGGTTCGAGATCTTGAAACATGGAATGTTTCAGAATCCCATGTGTATACAGGCCATCTGTATTATGAAAACCCGACATTTGAAAATTGAAAATTGAAAAATGTCTTGAGCCGATGCGTGTCCCCCCTGGGCTTCCGTATGGGGGGCACTTTGCTCTCAACTCCGTTGCAACAATCTGTTTACAACCCAAACTTCCAAACTGAATCACTGTCCTCATGGTCTCTCGGAGACCGAAATAGCCGCCTAGGGAGAGATCAGGGTGCCGGAGCATCTTGCTCATTGCAGTTCATCGCCTCACCCAAATTCGACACAACTCCCTCAGATCAAGTGAATTGATGACGTTGTGGTGTTGGTTTATTTAGTGCCCCAGTTGTTTCTTTTATTTTATTTTTGTTTGCGGATTCACGGCCCTTTCCTTGGTACATACATTATTCCTCTGGACCAATACTTAAGGGAGAAAATTTGAGGGGGAGAAGTTGGCCATCGATCACCACGGACGGATGTCGGCGTGACGGAGTCAACAATGGGCGACAGAGACTGTGTTTTTTCAAGCACAGAACTGCTCTGATGAAAGAAGTGTGATCATAGGTCCCTGCGGTCTTGCCGCTCCGCGCGCACCAAACGGGGCCATGAGTTGCAACCCTAGAAAACGCTCCAGTTTAGGGACCCACAACTGAGCCGGCCCCGCAATCCATATAAAACCCCACCCCGTCCCATCCCGCCTTCGCCTTTTCTTTTTTCCCTAGCGGCGTCACCTTCACTTCTCCGTGTTACTCTGGCGCGTAAAACCGAGCGTCCAGCTCGGCTCCTCAACGAACAGCCAGAGCGTCAGAAGGTGTCCAGATCAACTTCTCCTCGTCGGACGTCTAAGAACCCATGTGGCCTTGATCCTCTTGAATGCTCGAGACTCGTCTCGTCTTGTCTGTGGACCTTGGTCGGGTCGGTGGTCCCGTACATCCATCTCCTCCCCCCCCCCCTCCCCCCCAAAGACCCTTTTTTTCTTTCTGAATTTGGGCCGGCTGTCTTCCCTGTTAGACGGCCCCCATTGTGTCACTTCGTCCTCTTCGCATCCCTTTCATAAACTTGTAATTTTTTTGTGTGTTGGGATCGCACCAAAGCAGCTTACAATATACATACGAGAGGAGATGACCAAAAACACAGAGAGATCACCATGCAATACCAAAGATTGTAAATGGCATGAGTTTCTGGTTTGATATCAGACATCACCTCTTGTGAGCACCCAAAAAAGGACATCTCCAAGTCGAATGATTAAATAGCATGAGCCAGTCAAAATACAACAGAAACAAAAAAAAAAAACTTGAACACAAGTGGACGAAGTAGGGGACCGAAAAAGAAAGGGAACGCCGACCGAAAATTCACTCCCAATTCCCCTGTAAAGCAGCTTACAATCCTAACTTAACCAAGTCCCTCTGTGGGAGGGGGGACGCCGTCCCGAAGGGACCCTCCGCAGGAGGGACTTATGAGCTAAGTCGACCCTCTCGCCCAAGAGGATTAAAAAAATCGATCTCTTTTTTTAATCCTTTCTCCTGTGTCTATCTATCGGTCTCCAGGTACAAAGTCACCCACCGATAGGAGGGGCTTTTCGGGCAGATTCTTTTGATCACACTTTCAGTTTTGTGAGGTGACTTCGCTCTTGTCCACCTTAGCTTTTTCACTTTCATCTCTCAAAAGCGATTTTGAGGTTGAACCTGTATTCAATGCCACACATCAGGTATACAGGAGCCTTTCAATTAAATACTGTTTTGTATGCACATATTCAAGCTGGCTACATTGCCACAAGACCGACAAAATGCTGCATACAGATTAAGAGCTTGGAAGAAGCGGGAAGCTGTTCTTAACCCATAAGAAATATTCCAAGGATCAAGAAAGGCTGGCACTTGGATTGGCTCCCAACATGTTAACTTGATTCCAATGTGAAGTGGTGGCAATCAAGGGGATGGTTGGACCATACATATTGTGAAGACTAGATGGAAATTGGGGCACAAATGAGCTGTGGAGGCGAGTTATAAAAAAGTCACCAGCCAAACTCTTAATCCTCTTGAGCCGCGGGGGCGACATAGCCCGTAAGTCCCTCCGGCAAGCCATCGGATCAACTGCCAGGAGGGACTTAGTTAAGTTAGCTTACAATCTACGAGAGGAGATAACCTCAAACCCAGAGAGGTCACCATGCAAACCCAAAGAGAAATCCCATGAGTTTCTGGGTATCATATCATATCGGATATTGACCTCTTGTGACAGTGACACCCACAAAAAGACATCTATGTATCTCCAAGTCGAATGATTAAATAGCATGAGCAAGTCAAAATACAACAGAAACGATAAAACAAAAAACTTGAACACAAGGAGAGAGACGAAGTAGGAGGGGGGAGCGAAGGACGACGAAAGAAAGGGAAAGCCGACGGAAAAGAAGTGGAACAAGAGTAGAAATCAAGAGGGAAAAACAGAGAAGCACAGCAAAAACAAACAAACAAACACACAAACAAATTGATGGAGACCAGAAACGATCAGACATACGTATGCTCAGGAATACATCGATGATGGGTATCTGTTGAGGTGATAATTATGATAGTGATAGAAGGAGGCCTTGATTGCTCAGTAAAACAAACAAAAGAGGAGGCTCGAGTAATAAGTTAAGGTGTTTGTGGGCCTGTGTTCAGTGTGAAGAGAAAGAGAGAGGAGATGTCCATGATAGAAGCGAGTGAGCGTGTCGAAGAAAAGACGCGGGAAAAAGGGGCCGAAACGGAAACCAAGTCAAGAGGAATGGGGGATGGTGTGCAGAGAAGACAAAGACAAAGATCAGGCGCCAGCTTCCAATAAAAAAAAGGGAAATAAAGGGGCGATGGGGGATGTGTGTGGCGGGGGATGAGCAACGAAGGATCATAAAGGTCTGAGATGTGTGGAGTTATTGAAGAGAGAGAAAGAGCTTGGGGTTGCTGCTTTGTTGTTGGGCAAGTTTTTAAGAAAAAACCATCAACTGATAAAAACAAAAGGAGAATAAAGAACGAAAAAAAGACAAGTCCAATTGAACGAAAAGAAGAAAAAAAACGAAGACAGATTTAAAAGAGACCAAACCAAAAAAAAAAATTATTATTCACAGCATGACGATCACCTAAATAGTGAAAAAAGAAAAGAACGATTCGAAACAGTCGAAGGAAGATATATAAAAAAAAGCCAAGTCAAGACGAATAGGAAGGAGGATGATGAGGATGGAAAAGACAGTGAAGGAGAACGACGGTTGGGAGTTCAGAAGAATTAAGAGAAGAGCATATAAACGATGGTATATCTCATGTAGAAGAAGAAGAATTTGAGTTAGGATTCCGAGGAGGCTCGGTGTCGACTTCCTGGATTTCATCATCGGGGTCGTGAGGATGATCCGATGTAGCTACGGGTGATTGAGCGAGGGGATGATTGGTCAGAGGGAGGTCGGTATCGATCTTGAGGGGCCGCTGAGGGGGCAGCGGAGGATCAGCGGACGAGGTCTCCGCAGGCTTGTCGGCAAGATGAGGGTGAAGGAAGATGGAGATCCGTTTGGCAAGACTGGCCGGCCGGCCGAGGGTACTGGAGGTCGTCGCCTGGGTGCCCTGGCGACGATGATGCTGGTGATGGTGGCCGAACGAGCCTCCGAAAGCGAGCTGTAAGTTGCCCAGTCGGATTGAACGCGATCGTTCTCGATTGGCTGTTGGCTTCGACTTGCTATTGTTAGCATTGCCCCCGTTGTTATCGGGTTCTTCTCTGATACCCGCTCCCAGACCTTGAAAAAAGATAATCATTATCAGTTTGACGTTCAAACTAATTTTTGTATTGCAAAGGAGGTTATTGTAAGTGAGACACTGACTGAGGACGCTAGTGTTATACCTCCGGAGTCGATTTCCAACGGCGTATTCACCAACCCCGTCAGCCTGGTCGAAATTGAAGCCTCTTCCTTGAGGGGACAGCTGACCGGTAGCCATATCGTGGGTGAGGGAGGTACGGGAGCGAAGGATCTCAGGACGCATGGGCTGTAGACTAGGGTTGTCCGACTTGATCCGCTCCAGCAATGCTGGCTCGTCCTGCTTTTTGTTGCCCGTACTAGGCTCATCCACGTACTTGTCGTTTTCACGCTTGTAAGGCATCTGTTCATCCGCTTGGAAATCATGGTTTGGGTCCTCCCGATGAACGTATTTTAAGATTTGCAAGTCACTAGATTTGGTGTGAAAGGTCAGTCCGAATCATCCGACTTTTGGAAGGTTGTCAAGAGGAACAAATTGACTGACTTGGGATAATATGTCTCTGTGTAATACTTGATCACATAGTGAGGAATCAAGCTCACGACGATCGTGATCGAAAGTCCGAGCCACCAATAAGCAGCAGACCACAAGAAATGATTGTTCCCATAGGCAAACGTCCATCTGAAAAAAAAAATCAGTTAGCTAAACAAGATGACAACAAGGATGAGAATAGGACTACTAACATCCAGCCGGGTTTGATAGCAGAATAGACGGCGGTGTACAAGATAATGAGGACGGGGCCGAAGAGGATGAAGGCAAGGATCCACCAGTTCCAGATGGACTGGTCGAGTCCATGAAACAAGTTGGCGACGAAAATGATAGCGACGATGATGACGGTGGAGAATTCATAGATGCCGACATCCAGGCCATCGCTCCGAGCCGACGTGGAGTTGTAAGCGAACGTGATCAGGAAGAAACACACCGAGCCCTGATAGATGCCTTGTAACATGTACATCGCAAACCGTCGGAGCCCAAATTGGTTCCCTTCACGTCCAGTCGAATATAGCTCGGGAACGGCCATCAAAACTTTCTCCGCAATGTCTTGGTCAAACACTCCAATCCCAATCACCGGCACTGGAGTTTTGTAAGTACCGAACGTCAGCATCCGAAACAAATGGTTTACCCAAAAAAAAAAGCTCAACATACAAAGTGTCCAGAATACGTTATAGAACAACAAATACTGTTTTGATGGAAAGGGAACCAATTAGATCTCTCTATCGAATGTTTGAAAACAAAAATGAGGGAAAGAAACAAACCGTGTACTCGTAAAGAATGGTAGTCGAATAAGCACACCAAAACTGATAGAGCCAGAGAGCGATGATCCCGATGATTTCCTTGTAGAAAAAGTTAACGATCATCCTTGAGTTGCGGTCATAAGACCAATGACCATGGACGAAGAGCAGTTTAGAAAGGAATCTGAATTTAGCGATCGCATAGTCGGATGAGTTGACGGCCTGCATGCCTTCCTCGCCCGAGACGCCTACACCGATGTCAGCGGTCTGGATCATCGAGACGTCATTGGCGCCGTCACCGATAGCGAGGGTCTGAGCACCGATACCTTCCTTGACGAGCCGGACGATCTCGGCCTTCTGTTTAGGCGAGGTACGGCAACAGACGACGGCCGCACAGCGGGTGGCCAGCTCAAGTAGGGCCTCCCGTGTGAAAGGCTCCTCGAGCGCATAATTCAGCGAGCCTCCGTCAATCACTAGCCCGTATCCACCCGCCCGGCGACCGTTGTCCTCTCCGACAATCGACGCCAGGTCGTCCGGGTTCGACATCGGCAGCGATGCCCGCGTCGGCGCCGGCGATTGCAGTACCACATCCGGCTTGTGATCCGGGGGTAGCTCCTTGAGTTGGTCAACGAGCTCCTGTCCATCAAAGAAGTCAATCAATGACTTGCGGATCTGCTGGTATGCCGATGCTCGTGAACCGTATTCTCCACCTCTGATGACGATCAGGTTCATGTCATGACCGATCAAATGACACGTTCGTGCAATGGCTGGAATGTTCAGACTTGGTTAGTCAGGTATCATTCACCCCATTTCTCAACAAGAATATATAGTTATCAAGAGACTCACCAACGGCAGTCTCGAGTTTATCACCCGTAGCCACCCAAACTTTAATCCCGGCACGCTTGAGATCGGCGATAGCCCGAGGAACACCTTCCTGTAGCTTATCCTCGATGGCGGTAGCGCCGAGAAGGATAAGGTCTCTCTCGAGCTCATCCTGGACTTTATCGATCAGTTTCTCCCGGTCGGGTCCGAGCTGGCTGCAGGCGTGTGCATACTTCCTCGACCAGGCCTCGACCTCACTGAACTCGAGCTTCCGGTACGCTAGGCAGAGCGTCCGGAGGCCATCAGAAGCAAACTGCTCCAACTGGTCGTCCGTCTTCTGCTTCAGCTCGTCCTGCCCCGATCCCAATCGATCAAAGATCACATTATCCGCACCCTTGACGAGGAGATAGAGTGAGCCTGATTCAGGCTCACCGTCGACTAGTCGTCGTACAACAACACTCATCCGTTTCCGTGCACTGGTGAATTCGTTGACTTCTAAAAGCTCGTATTCGTTCACCTCTACAGTCCGTGGTTCCTCAGACGTTTCGATCTCTTTGATGTCGTCGCTTTGCTGTTCTCCTGACCGACTGTTTCGATGAGGAGGACATGATTGGGAGGGCACCTGAAGACGTAGAATGTTTTTCTCTCGACCTCTGAAGACGAAACCCGACGGCTGCAGCCGCCTGAACGAGGAGCTTGCTCATCTGGCGATTGCGCCTTGTATTTGATCGACCCTTCTTCGTCCTCGCTGACAAGTACGGTGTGACAGAGTGCGAGACATGCAAAGAAGCCGTAGAGCGATCGAGCTTGATCACTGTCCACCGCGGCCAGATCAGTCATCAGCTCGCTGTCCTTGAACGCTGGCACGGCCGGGTTGGCTTTGACTTTGACCGGAACTTTCTCGTCCGACTTTCCACTCTCGGGGGCTTTCTCATGAATCATTGAGGGTTTGGAGGGAGACCTGGGATGTTTGATGCCGGCTGGGTTATCTCCATTGACCACAGTTTTCTCTTCTTCTTCTTCTTCTTCTCCTCGTTCTTCCTCCTCCTCCTCCTCTTCACCAATCGATCCTAGTTGTTGCTTGCCACGATAAATCTTCCCAGCAACCGAGCACTGTCTGAATTGCATCAGGTTCTGAGTCAGTGTACCAGTCTTGTCACTGAACACATACTGAATCTGACCAAGGTCGTCGGAGAGATTCCAGGAGCGGGCTAGCGTTGGACGATCGTTATCGGTGATGTCATCGTCGGCCCAGATGAAGTAGGCCTGGAGAGTACGGACAAACTCGATGGAGATGTAGAGGGAGATCGGGACGATGTTTTGGTAGGTGATCATCGCATTGGCGAAACCGATGAGCCCGTTGAGCGACGGATTATCACCCGATGAATCCTCATTTACCGTCCAATATGAGCCACGGTCGCGATAGTACTGATCTGAGAATCGGGTGCCGATCGCATTGAAGATGCACATCAGAGCCAGAAGTCCAAGATTAATGAACCTTTCAGATTGGGGGGGATAAGAAAGAGAGATAAATATCTCTGGTGATTAGGATGATATTTCGAGGGAAGTTAGATGACTCACACCATCGGATTCATCTGACGTTCGACTTTTGATCGTTTGGAGCGAGTCCCACTTGAGTTCATCATGATCTTAGTATCAGGACCGGTGAAGACGACGAGACCGATGACCCACTCGGTATTTCTGACGACGGTACCACGGAGAAGGATTGAGTTCATATCAACGGGAACACGGTGGCCGGATTGGTGACCATCCTTGAGCTGTTCCCCGTGAGCGGTTGCTTCCTGGGTGGGTTCAACGTCTGGGAAGACGATGGCGGCAGAGTATGAGAACATGTTTGCATCCGGGATCTCGTTCTCGACGATGAATCGGTTGTGACGGTGTTGTTGGTTGGCACAGTCATGAGCAGAGCGGAGATGGCTGAGTGAGGGGAGTGCATGACGTGATTTCAGGTTGGTCTCCCCGTCCAAGTTCTTGGTTTCAATAAAGCAGACGTTCTCCTCCGCGTCTGAGGTGGCACAGATGATGATATCCGCCGGTACGGAGTCGTCGTTACGTAACCTGACAAAGTCACCCACCCTTAGGTCCTGCCAAGACGTCGGCTGAAAGCCTTCAGTATTTGATTCATCCTGTACTGCGGCGGGATCGGTGCTGGTAGAGGATTGAGAGTCAGGCGGAGTTGGTCGACGGAGATCGGCTGGCAGGACCTTCCGGCGGCGGGACCACCAATGTTTCTTGTGGGGTAGTGTGGCTGGGTCTGCTTGGGAGTGAAACCAATTGATCTTGAAGCTCGACTTGGGGAGGGTGGTGATGTTGTGGTTAGTGTAGACTGATGGAGAGATGGTGTCCACTAGTTGGTGGTTGGTTTTGTAATCACCCGCGTGTCGACGGACATCCTCATAGGCATCCTTGATGGCGGTGATAGCAAGCACGGCGAGCAAGGGTAGGGCGGCGAGTGCGGGTGAGACTTGGGAGAATTTGGGAAGGAATTGAAGGATGACGAGACCTGGAGGAGGGAAAGAATGTGGGGGATGTCAGGATGAATGGAGTGAGCAAAAAAAAATAAGATAAAAAGGAAGACTGAACTGAGGAAGAAGACGTTGGCGATCCTCCTGAATTGTTCGAGCAGATTACGAGGGATGAAGGTGAGCAGGGAGTATTTTGCGGTCTTGATTTGATTTGAAGGGTGTTCCCAAGCCTATGAATGATGTTTTGTTGTTAAAAGATGTGTTTGAGATGTATGTATGTTATGGATGGGAGAGATGACTGACTTGAGTTGGTTTTCCTACTGTTACTTCCCGCTTCTTGTTGGACTTCCATGCTTGGGGTGGTAGTGGTAGGTTGATGAAGACCTGCCTGGCTAGTTGTTTGGGTTTGGGAGGGTCGAAGAGTGAGGAGATGTCGAATGCGGTGAGTCTGTCGATGGTTGAGCTCTTGTTTGATTGTTTTGGGTATTGTTTCCAGAGTGGGATTGTGGATGGATGATGCTGGGTCATTTTGTTGGAGGATGATTGAGTTTGTTAAATGGGGGGGGTGGGTGGTGGTTATTTACATCTAGAATGGCTGGAGAGAGAGAGAGTGAGTGAGCGAGTGAGAGTGAGAGGAAGGGAGTCTTTTGAGGCAAGTCCGCGGTTGAGGGTTATTCTGAGTTGGACTAGATCGTATTATGTAGTGGTTGTTTTGGTTGTTTTTGTTTTGTGTTTTTATTTATTTCCTTCTCAGGCTATTAAGGGGAGTGAGTTGGTGATGATAAGCTGATGTTGGAGTGGTAGGATGAGCCTGTTCGGTTGTTGTTTATCGGTGTTCCTGTTGATGAGGATGGTCTTGAGTGGGTTTGTCCATTATAATAAGCTCCCTTCGGCCGGCTCACATCCATGATCCGGCACGCACACATGACCCCCGCCCGGCGCATCTACAAATATATTACCCAGCTGAGAATCATCCCAGCTCCGGCCAGCACTCATATTTCCACCCGCTCATACACCACGGGTGCAGCTTTTGGTTTTCAAGTCGGCCCGAAAACCACTTCCGGTTTCCGAGTCGTCTTCGGAACCAATTTAGGTTCTGAAGACGACTTGAAAACTGGAAGTGGTTTTCGGGCCGCCTTGAAAACCAGCCTCGGTTTTGAAGCTGCCTTCTCGGTTTTCAAGGCGGCCTGGAAACCACCTTCGGTTTTCAAGTCGTCTCCGGAACCTAAATCGGTTCAGAAGACGACTTGGAAACCGGAAGTGGTTTTCGGGCCGCCTTGAAAACCAGCCTCGGTTTTGAAGCTGCCTTCTTGGTTTTCAAGGCGGCCTGGAAACCTGATCCCTTTGGAGGGGGGGGAGGGGTGGCCAGGGGGGTCGAAGCTGAAAATTCTAAGTCCTCATCGGACCGCCCTGCGCCTGAGTGCACCCACCTGGACAGCCACCACCCGATACCACCATTCTCGATAGAAATGTATGAGTCAATGCCGAGTCCGCCCGACCATTTTCAAGAAAGCCAGATCCAGACGGCCTATCAAGAAACCCAAGGGTCAGAATATACACCCGAGAGTCAGGACGCCGAGTCGCAGGAGTTTCCCGAATCAATTCGTCCACTGGATGGAAGCGAGGTTTATTGTAAATTCGACATCGATTACTCGATCTGGGTCAACACCCTTGAAAACCCAGCCAAATACACCCACGTCTGCCCAGTCAAGCCTCCCCGCCAGTTGCGTATGTCGGTGACCGATATGTCATTCAGCCAATTCAAGTCCCGCGTGTTGTAGCTCGACTACGTAATCTGGCGTAATGATTACGTCTCACTACACTCTATGTCATAAATGACATAGACGATGATCTCGACAAGACGTCTGACTGTCTCATGATTCTCTTTTCCCTTCTCTTTCTCTTACATAATGTGGAATATAAATAGCGTTGTATTTCTATTCACATTATGCCTTTTTCCCTATGCAATTGAGCCATCACATTCTCTTTCTCCTACTTACGTACTCGTGCCTCAATAGGTTATGAGCCTTTCTCGTCTTTCCTTTAGTTTAGTTTGGTACGAGTTCTTTTGATGAATACACTCTTTAAACACATCATTTTTTTTGGCTGTGCCCTTATTATTAGTAGTTAATCTTCGATTATTTAACATTTAATCGTATCGATATCCCTCTGGTTTCTCTCGCGTGATTCCCTTGGTTTTGTGTCTCGGTGTTTCTTTCTATCAGTATTTCTCTCTATATCGGTGTTTCTCTCTCGTATCTCTGGTGAAGTCCCAAGTGTGGGCAAGTTTCTCTTTATATCGGTGTTTCTCTCTCGTCTCTCTGGTGAAGTCCCAAGTGTGGGCAAGTTTCTCTCTGTGTTTATCGGGTGTTTTTTCTCTACTTCTGGGTGATATAACGGGTGATTAAGTGAAATAGTGTTTCTTGATACTGAGTTTATATAGTCTTCTTGATACTGAGTTTATATAGTTTTCATGATACTGAGTTTTACTATTACTGTTCCTCCTCTCCAACTGGCAACGACTCCCTCTGCGACTCCTCTGCAAAATCAATTTTTTTTGAATATTTCCGTTACACTGCTACTGTCCTCACTGTACTGTGGATCCACCACATTTGCCTGTCCACAAAGGCGATGTCCTCCGAACACTAGGCCATGATTTCACCAATTTTGAACAATCCTAGCTAGTACAAAGACTTGGACTATGGTATTGATCTCCCTCCTGGGTCCGGCGGGTCGTGGCTAAGGTGTTTTTACGACTGCTCAACTGAACCTGGAACATCTTCGGTCTTGCAATCGTCTCTTCAACAACACAACCGACTCCCGCCCTTCTTTTCCTGAGTATTTTGTTCACTTACTGCCTCCGGCTCATGCCCTCTCCACACTTTGGTCTACTTGTTCTGGAAAGAAAACGAACGGTCCCCAAACTCCGCTTTGAATAACTTGTGGCAATGGTTGTGGCCGGAATTTTTTTTACCTAATCTTTCCTTTGTCCTCCAATATTTTCTCTGTGCTCTCCTCCCGCCTCCCCCATTTCAGTCACCCTGCCTTCTCTCTCTGTGCCACCGACCGACACGCCGGACATCCACTCTTCCGGACGACTTGGTTCCCGTCCATGTTATATTCAGATTGCGACATTCCCTCCATCATTTGCACCATGGGGTCTGTGGTCGCCACTACGCTTCGTGCCCAACAAAAGATCACCTGGCAGCCGCTTATGTTTTGGATTGGGTCTTGCGGACAGCGGTTTGCCCCTGGCTTGACAAATCAGGATAACTTCGGCAGCAACTAAACAGATATGTAGTTCCATACCTCGGCTTCAGTTATAGGGAACGTGGCCAAAGCTAGCTCCTGTACTCTCATCTCAGTGACCCTACCCCATTAGCACCAATCCTATATAGCCATCCTCCATATCCTGCCCTGGGATTTCTCCTTCCTTGTCATAATAGGCCATTTGTATCCAGCCATCTTCCGGCACGGCTCCAGCGGATGGTACACTGGGGGGGTAGCGGTATTCAGACACATCCGCTTTGATCAGAAGGCCAGGTGGACACGGTGGCGAAGTGGCGAAAACGACTGTCGCCGGTATCATGGCCATCTCACCTACAACCCGAGTGTTTGGCATCTGCTTGGCCCCGAACTGATATTTAGCTTTGATCAGTCAGATAGACGGACACGGAGTACCCAAATCTTACGAACTAAAGTTGCTCCGGTTCGGAACAATTAGCTCCCAGAATGGTGCCGAACTGGGGGGGTTGGCATGTACCGGTGATTCCAACTAGAGTGTTGATCTCAACTATGGCAGCAATACCGATTGTGCTTGCTGCCCAAGGTCGTCGTTGAATCACACCCCACAGCATCAAACTCCAAAACTGACGAGCAGAAAAGTCTCAAGGGAACGAGTCCCTCCACCAGTTCGTCGATTGGACCCAGCAGTAGTTAGAGGCCTAGCCCTTCCGATAGCGACCCTGTCAAAGCTAGTCGTCTGAAAGCGCTGCTGTGGTTCTAGTTGGGCATCATTTGGATATGTTACGGATTCTTGGACTCCAGGAAGTGTACCTGGCTCACACGCTTCTCCCCCTCAACATCCGTTCAACCCCAGCTGAGCGTCTTTGGAAGGACAAGGGCGTAAAAGGCGCCCTGATGCTCACCGGCGCCATGGTTCGATCAGTTCCGTGGGCTCGCGTCGTTCGGCTGGCACTTTGCAGCTCCTGACTCCCTACACAGTTTCAACCATGCATCCCACTTACCCTCGCCGTACATCAGCTGCAAACGCCACCGTCAGACGTGTCACGGCGTCTATCAGCGCTACACCCGGTTCTGAGTTGTCACCGGCAGCCCAGAACTTTATCGTTGACATCGTCAAATTCGTGCACTTTCAACAAAGCGGCAGTCAGTTGGGAACACCTATGCGTATCGGAGCGAATAGGCTCTTGTGAGGATAGTGTTACATCCGATTTTTGCTACTCCTATCACCAATCAAGCTCAACTTCCAACCTCATCACTGTTTACCGGTGTCATCAATTACGTCGGTACACTGAAAGCTTCCGACCAGGTCCCTGCAACACCATGCCACCCCGGTCTCAGAATCAGACACAGGTTCTATTCCCTCAGCTTCCTCATTCACAAAGTCGTGGTCTTGTCGAGTGGGGGGGTGTTGTAGCTCGACTACGTAATCTGGCGTAATGATTACGTCTCACTACACTCTATGTCATAAATGACATAGACGATGATCTCGACAAGACGTCTGACTGTCTCATGATTCTCTTTTCCCTTCTCTTTCTCTTACATAATGTGGAATATAAATAGCGTTGTATTTCTATTCACATTATGCCTTTTTCCCTATGCAATTGAGCCATCACATTCTCTTTCTCCTACTTACGTACTCGTGCCTCGATACCGCGTGTACGATCATTTGATGGCCAGTCTCGACCAGCCGTTAAAGTCAGTTCAGCTTAAAAAAGAACTAAGCAACGCTGACAGGGCTTGCAAATTGGAATGGCGCTGTATTATCGACAACCACGATTTGTATGGTCCGAGGAACCACTTTGTTGCAACGGATGATGCGACTTTCAAATCATTCGCAATGACGGCTGGTATCCATGTTGGTGCATGTCGCATTGAGATTTTCATGGAGAAGCCAACAAGAATGATTGAGAGTGTGAGTTTTTCTTTCTTTATAAAATTCAAGTGAATCTGCTGTCCACAACTTACAGCTTTTGATCTGATTGCCAGATGTTGTCAACCCCACCTGCCTCTGGACGAGCTGTTCGTTTCATTGACGAGGATCACAGAAACTCTCACCCCATGCACATCGATTCCGACTCGTTGTCTCTTCCTGATCTATCAGCTCAGATTCCCGCATCCAAAAAGCGCTCGGTTGAATTTGATGGTGTCGAAGACGTTGTCTCTAAGCGATTCAAGGCCTTCCAACAAAGCGAGTTATCATCAAGCAGATGTGCAATCACTATGCTTGACTTTCTGCAGTTCTGTCGGATTCCATTAGATGATGACCATACCCGATCGATCATACAGGAGCACCGCCTTCACCACTGGACTGTCTTCATAGACCTCTCGGCTGACGATCTCAACGATCTAGGATTCAGCCGTGGTCCAATCCTTCTCTTCTTGCGAGGGGTTGCTCGATTGATTCATGGGAAACATGAATATGAGCCCTGAGAAAAGTTCATCCTCGAACCAACAAAATTTAAGTGATAAAAAACACTCAATCAAGGGCTCATCCTTTTTCCTGTCAATGTTCTAGCATTTTTCCCCTATGAATTTTTCAGTTTATATCTCAATTCTTTCACATGTTACACTATCTATGCTTGACTCAACACTTCAGGTCGTCAATTTATCTCCTGATTTTCTGATTGCATAGTAACTTCTGCATGTGTGTGTGCTGATTTTGGAATTATAAATCAACAAAAGGAAAAAAAAATCTCTTTTCTCAATTGAATGATGTTACACAAACTGGGCAAAAAGACGGTGATATCAGTGGAATTTCAATATTCTGACATTGTGCAAATATTCTGACATTGTGCAAAAAGTGTGTGTCACATCTTTTCAACAACATCATGTGTTTTCATCACCAATTGCAGAAGAATGGGCATACATGATAGAGAGCTCATATGATTCATGAAGGATAGAAAGCAGAAAAATGACTGTGGAATATATATATATATATATATTTATATGTATAAATCTACTGTTAAAACATTTGAATAACAACAGAATAAAATTGAGAATCATATTCAACTGTTGGGTAGATTGACTGACAACTTGAGAGCATTTAAAATTCAGAAACTCATTCTGCTATTTGAAAAATTAATCATCAACATATATATCTTCTGGGGGGACTTTGAAATCAAACAATAGATATTGTGAATGGATTGTGATGATTATTGGGTATGGTTTATGGCTTGAGGATGGGTGTAATGGCAGGTGAAATTGCACTGTTCACAGTGATTCATCATTATCTTGGAATGGCATGCGGCTTGATGAGGTGGATCTAAATTGTGAAGCATGGCTTTGGAATGGCACATGGCTTTGTGATGGATGAAAAGACACATGCCTGTGACTTTGTGGAGTATGATACTGCATTTGGTTTGGAATGGATGGAGTGTGTGGCAGATGAAATTGTATAGGGTTGGGATTAGAAGGATTGTGTGGGAAGTGCAACTGGCTTTGTGCAGGATATATTTGCATTTGGCTGTTTGATGCATTATGTGGCATGTGCATGTGGCTTGCTGATGGCATTTGCATGTGGATTGATGATGGCATTTGCATTTGGCTTGATGATGGCATCCGCATGTGGCTTGAGGATGGCATTTGCATGTGGCTTGATGATGGCATTCCCATGTGACTTGATGATGTTGATGCAACTTTTGATGATTTCTTTGAAGTTTTTCCTTTTTGATTGGGTTGAACAGGCGGGGTGTGGTGTTGCCAAATACTGTGGCCTATGTATGATGCCTGAATCATGTCTTGATCTGAAATCGACGGCACATTCAAATAGGCTAATTGACGGTGATGTGTAGGTTGATGATGTGAAAAGGTGTTCAAAAGATAGCTGATGTCATTTGTGTGTACTATGTGCCGGGTTACTGAATTTCCTTCTTGCCGATTTCTCTGTCGAATTGTGGAGGTTGTGTGTTTACATTGCCCATCGAAGCAATTGTGCTGCAAATTGAGACAGCATTGTATCATCTAATTAGAGTTGGAAAGGTTCATCAGAAAAAGTGACATGCACCAGGATTTTTATATGGTGATTGGGTGAAAAACACTAACCCTTGCTGAAATATTTACAAAATAATTCTGTTTCTCAACTATCCTCATCAAACAATCTGGTTGAATACCCCTCATAACACATGGTTGGACTTTTATAAAAAAAACATTCTTTGATGTAACCTCCCAAATTGACTGCACACATGCAATACCTCCATTTTGTTGTGGATTAGTCTTTTCCTACAAAGAAACATTTGGGTCAGTAAATGGAATGGTTACATTGGAAAACTTAATTCAGTATGTTTACCAAAATAAATGATCCCTTTCGAATGGATTCCTTATCATTGAGTTTCAGGCTTGACAGCTGACGAATGTGATAATTTTTATATAGCTCTCTGATTTCATCAGGTACAATTTCAATATCTGCTGATGCAACCTTTGATCTTTTAACACATGGGTACTGTGGATGACTTAATGCGCTTGGGTTGTATCCAAAGGCCTGCTGGACTGCTGGATTGGTGCTAAATACATCAGTAACATTTTTAGAGGGGGAAAAGTATCCTTGAGCTTGAGCATCATATAAGTATGCCCCGGAGAACAAGAGGCGCTCCACTTGGTAATTGCTGAAGGTGATAGCTATATCATGGCCAGGGCTCTGTCGATTAGAGTGAATTGATGCATGTCTAACTACTCCATTGAAGCTTTCAAACTTCTCCGTGGCAAATAAACATGGTGGACCATATCTCTTGATTGATGCTGGCAGGTGTAACAACATATGAAACTTTGGTTTATTGGCCCATTGAGCTGTCATTTTGACTATGTTATACATAAATATTTTGATGTGAGCTTCCAATTCTTGTATGTATTCATTCATGTTTGGTATGTGTGTTTGAAAAGCCATGCTGCAAATGTAACATAATGGAATCCAGACATCTAATTGTTGTTGATTCATGAATGGGAAAAAAACAAATGGCGCGACCTGGACAATTGTGCGGAAATCCTTCCCAACAAAACTCTTGTAGTGAGCCATCATGTATTTTGCTTGGATGGGAGGAATGTGCAATGCATCTGAGCAGAATGAGTGTAAACGGGCCTCCATTTCATTAAGCTGGTGTTCTTTGAGCTTTCCCATGAAGTCTTTAACTAAATACTTGACCACACCTAGAGATAATACATGTAAGATCTCAACAGGTGTATCCCTACAACCATCAAAACCTTTCATGTTGGTGATTGGATTCGCCAATCGGCTTGGTTCCTTATCTTCTATTTCGTTTATCCTTTCCCTTTCCGAAGGAATGCGTTTTCTTTCTATCAGCTCCTCCTGGAGTTTGTCAGCCAAACCTCCTCCGGTCAGATGATCTTCATATGCTTTCTTGGTCTCATTAAGTAATATGTCCCATGAATTCTTGGTCTTCTGAACTGTATCAATCCAGCTCCTTGGCTTGGGCAAATGTGGAATACCAAAGAATTGTTGGATATATCTGATACCTGTCCTATCAGCAGCATCTGATACGCCCAAATGACACATGCGACAAGGATTGTTACAGTTGCCTCCTGGAATGGGGGTGTTTGTTATTTCAGCTGCCATTGGTGAATCAGCAAGGAAACAGAGGGGCACGGTCATGAAAAGAACTTCATCTTGAAGTGTTGAATCATATGCAAAGCTACCATCTGTGGCAAGCTCACTGTTGTCACAAGGCAATTTAGGTCTGAGTTAGGTTTCTTGTGACTCAGAGTCATTTGACTTCAAAACAATAAACTCACTTAATCTGATTAACAATGGGCTCAGCTATTTCCAAGGCCCCTGCCACATTTGAAGTACTGATGAAATGGATATTGTATTCCATGTTGCTCAAAACTGGTGGCAGGCCACTCAATGTGAAATAATATGAGATATGTTTGTTCCATCTCTTTGACTGGTTCCCTGAGGTATCATCAGCATAGAGTGTTATGGGGATGTGACGAATTATTTTGCCTTTGGCCTTGGCCCTCCATGGGTTTGGGACCGTGATTGACTTATCTGGTCCACCAAATTCGGAAACCTCTGGAAATTAAAGTTGCTTCAGCTTTGGGTTTTGTCATTTTATAAGGAATGCTTAAATATTACACACTTACCCACTAGCTGCCTCCGAATTTTAGTGAGGAATGGAGTCCCATCACCCCATTTCATTTCTGAACACATTAGGTCAAACATTCGAACAGGAATATTTATCAATTGAGGGGAGTCATAAGAAATCATTTGAGGAATCATTAGCTGGATCTGTGGTTGATTGTTTGGTAACTCTGTAGTTGCAAAATTTTTCATCTTGGGGGCAATGCATTTGGCATATAATTCATTATTCAGCTTGAAGAAAAAAATGGGGATCATTATATTCTGTTCTGGTCCCAATAGAGTGACAGGCTCAAAAATGTAATAGTGTTTGGATCGACTTTCTACCATTTGGACTCTTGTTTCTCGACAGAGATCCTCTCGCCACTTTGCACTTTGGTGTAGTGAATATATATCCTTCCCTTCACAATCATGTGGATAGAACTCCAAGTGTTTATTCACATATGGGTTGGAAAGCTCCTATATTACACCATTACTTCAGTAAAAAACAAAAACCAGGTGACACATTAACACAGTATTCAAAGAAGCTGACTCACATGTGAAATTGTGTCTTTCAGGCTCAGTGTAAAAACTTTGTTGTCCAAAACTGAGATGTTTTCATTCAATTTGACATCCAGCATCTTTCTGATTTGTTCCCTTCTTCTCCTTATAGTATCCCAATGTGGGATATCCAGACAACCAAGACTTACTGACAACCGAACCAGGTGATACACATTGCGTGACAGTAAGTTATGCAAGTGCCCCAGCATCAGGGTAGATATCAAGTACTACAGGTTCAAAAACGGAATTGCAAATCAGAAAGAGTATCCTCCCGCTGCCTGGAATTGAATAGACATGTGTAACACACCTCTTTGGCAGGGAATGGATACCACAAATCAGTTGGATTCATATCTTCATCATCATGAGAATTGCCCAGGACATGATTTTGGCCAGGCAAAATCACATAATCATTGGTAAATTGAGAATAATCCTCAGGCATGTTCCATTGATCCCAATCCATTGTACCACGGCAAACAGGCTGCCCAGATGATGACTCATTGGAAGAACTATCTGCCCCACCAAATCCCATCCCAGTTTGATCATTCAAATCTACTTGAGGGGGATGATATGCCTCATTGTGAACATCAAGTAACCTTCTTGGAATAAACAGTTCCTCTGCATCATTCACAATATCATCTTGATCTGAAATATGTGAGTTTCCATCTGGGTGAAGATTTTGTGAATGAATTCTTTCAGACATACCCTCTTGGAGAGCATTTAGCTGAGCCTCCACTTGAGCTTCAATGGTTCTTCGTGTTTCTTCCATAGCTCTCCTTAGAGCATTACTTTGATGACCAGGAGTGTTGAGGTGCCTTTTCAGATATACCAAATCCATGCCTCTACCATCACAGACTTGACAAACATACTTCATTCTCCCATCTGGCTGTGAGACAGTCACAAAACCTGAGGGATAATGGGAAACTCATCAGAAAGGGCATGAGGGCAGATTGTCAGTCAAAATATGAAAACACACCACTGATAGTCATAATTTCTAGGTTATGGATGATATTAAAAAGATGGATGATTTGATGAAAATGGTAGAAATGATGCTACAGAAGGTGTAATTTATCCAGTTGATATCAAAGGGATGGATGATTTGATGACAATGGATGAAATGATGCTAGGGAAGGTGTAATTTATCCAGTTGATATAAAGGAGGTGGAAGATATGATGACAATGGATGAAATGATGGTAGGGGAGGTGTATTTAACCAGTTGGCCAAGGCTGAATGCTGGTGTGCAAGCAGGGAGCATCAAACATGCCCCACCTTTGGCCCGCAGCAAGCAGGTTCCACATCATCAGGGGGGGCAGAATTTTTTTCCTGTCCGCAGCACATTTAAATCCGACACAATCGGCATCAGGCCAAAGTTTGATTCACCCATCGATGACCAAAGTCTTTCTGTTTTGCCTGAAGCAACCCGGCCCCACCCATCACCTCAGTGTTTCAGCTTTGATTGAAACAAGAAACCAAGGAAAAAAAAGTAAGTCACTTGATTTTGCTCTACTTCATTTTAATGTCCTTCCTTTCAAACGATGTATACTGAAAAAAAGGTTTTCATGTTTGTTGGCTGTACTCTGCAAGAAAAATGTCACATCACAGTGCCCGAAACAACTCGTACTGTCCAAGCGATCCGCCAAACCAATACAGAACTCGTGAAGGCCATCTGAACTCAAACCCTGCTCGAAACCAGCCATTTACTGGTACAGGCGACACTCCTAATGCCCAGGGGCTTCCCCCACAAACCGCAGGCCATGGGTTTACCAGTCAGTACAGTGTCTCATCAACCCCTTCAGCTAACCAGTGGGCTGCAATCAATAGCGACTACACCCCCTCCTTAGGAGGAGGCGGTAACATGTTAGACTACGACATGCCCCCTGGCACCAATTGTGGAGACAATAACCCCGACCAGACATTGTACTCACCAAGTGGACATCACATCCGTTACTCATGTGAGTATGATTTAAATCTCATGTGTTACCGGCAGCTAATACTCTACCCACCAGCCATGCCTCAGGATCGTACTCAGGCAGGAGGAGGCTTCGACCGAACAGGTAATCAGTCAGGAGGCGGCTTTGACCGCACGTCCCAGGTCAACCCAGCCAGCTCAGGTGCGTCAATCCAACCAATGTACCTTTTAGTCCTCAATCACTATCCAGCTAACATCAAGGACAGACCCGCGTGCTAGCTTTGAGACACAAGCTGGGCCAATCAGGACACAGCCTCGGACTGGATTGTCTTCCCCCTCCCCCATGAGCTTCCACACCAGTAGAAGTAATAGCTCCGATCAAACCGATAGATCAGACCTCCCTAGCAGTTTAGACAGCAACCCACCACCACATCGAGTGCGCTCTATCAACCCGAGGGCCCTTGAATCTGTCCAAAACCGACTCCGATCGATGGGTTCCCATTATCGGCTCTCTGAGGACCTCATCCAATGGGCTCAAACCCTCTTGGATGTAAGTCAAATTGATGCTTGCACTCTAATCTTGATTTCTCGATTACTGACCAATTCCACTTGGCTGTCAGATGCCTGAGGAGGAGCGATGGCTTATGTCAATCCTCATCAGCCTCAACAGCCAAATTCCTCCAGTCCCATCTGTCCAACCAGCCGCTGAAACAGCGGTCAGCACTGGCAACACCAACACGGAGATGTTTCACAACTCGCTTTCGAACATTCATCCGCACACAGATCCGACAGATTTTATTGAGACCCGATCTTCAGTCTTATGTCCCCCACAAGGCCAAGAAAGACCACGTGGACATGTCGCCACATGGCATACTTATGGTGAGTTGTGTGCCTCATCTCACACAAAAGTCCAGCCCTACATAGCATTTATCATCCTCTTCCAATAGGGAATACTTCAACAGGAAAGTGATGGGTTCAAGCAAATGTACTTGCCCAAAGACTTTCATAAAGATGCCCTGTACAAGCGAGCTCTTGACAAGCTGATTGCTGACATTCTCAAGGGGGAGAAGAGCAACCTCGCTACCATGCTCAGAATCGGATTCGGACCAGAAGACCCCGCCATCCCCCCACCAAAATTGCCTGAAATCATCGGCAACGTTTATGTAGCGATGGACCCTCGATTCGCAAATAAGCCCATCACAGACATTCATAAGGATTCTCGAATCACTATCGCTTGACAGGCACGACTAGCCTACATAAGATCAATGATCAACCTCCATCGACTAGCACGGATCGCAAAACCCAATGCAACAAATCTACCATCCTTCTGGGACGAGATCGATGAAGATCTAAAGGAACGTCGAAAAAACACCTCACTCCGCAACAATGTCTTTGGACAGTTGATCCTTGACAAGGATGCTCAACTCTGGGATGGCGAGAAAACGATCCACGACTGGACCGAGTCCGATCAACAGCTCCCATCAGATGAGGAAGTCCAAGCGAGGGTTGAACTGGAAACCGATGGTCGACCAGCAGGTCCTGCTGTACCTAACATCTAGTTATCACATATCAAACCCTTTTTTGCTCATCACATGATAACTTCTCTCATCGTTTTTTTTTTTTTTTTGCTTATTGGTTGCTAAATTTTTTTTTCTATCGGTCCTTAATTTCAATTTGCGATTCGATTGTCTTTTCAAATCGCTCGCTTCCTACGTATTACATATCTTTGTTTTCTTTTTTCACAACAGTTTGATGGTTGTTTTTTTTCTAGGTCATTCAAATTCCTTTTCCGATGTCACTCTCTTTTAACCGTGTTACTCTTTTCCATCTATCTATCACCCTTCTCCGATCGATCATCACTCCTTGAACAAATCTATCTCATTATTCTATGAAATGTCTGGTTCTGGTCGTAAGAGTGCCTGCCAATCTGGGCCGACCGAATGGCCGGCCCACAGCGAAACCCAACCGGTCCCCCCCCCCCCCAATCGAGAATGAGTGAGGGGAGAGTTAAATTGTAAAATCGCCTTGAAGTCGTTCGGCATGGTCCGACGCTTCCATGTCGTTCTGACGACGACTTTGAATCCGGTTGCAAGTCGTCTTGGGTGGTTTTTGAAGTCGCCTCCAAAACGACTTGGGCCTGATGACGTTTTCAAGTCGGTTTCGAGGCGACTTCGAATCGTTTTGAAGCCGTTCGACTACCTGCATCCAAGTCGCCTTCCAGGCGCGAACGTCTGGGCGCCTTGAAGGCGTCTCCCATTCAATTGGTTTGAGACGCCTTCAAGGCGGTCAACCCAGGCGTTCTCAAGACGCCTGGGTGCACCCGTGGTGTACATAACTCACAAGCGAATTCGCAATCATCACTTCCCAATCAACCTCGGCCGGAGCTCATCATAGAATCTTGTTGAGCTTACGATAGCTGGCCGGATCGAGCAGATTGATTGTAATTTACTTATCAAGCCCATCTCATCGTAAAGCAAAATAATAGTTTATGTAAGCATAACAATCACCTACTGTCTTTCTCGAAAAGCTTGGACATTTTTGAAAAAAACAAACAACAACCATCCCATAATTCCTGTTACGTAAGGGGGGTTTTGTTTTTAGTTTTGTCCAAACAACCGTCAGACTTCAGGGCTGACAGGTCTCCCAGCCCTAAGCTGACCAGTGTGTGAATCCTCGGCGGTATCATTACATCCATGATCAATCACGATACCCCTCCCTCCTCTTGCCTTGCTCCAATGCTCTATCACCACTTCGACTGATCACTGTGCAGTGTGGACCGATCTCGTTTGGTGAGTTACTGATGATCCTTGATCTGCTAGCACACTGATCAATACTGATCACTCCATTGTTAAACAGATCGACTCGCCAATCGCCCTCAATCGTCTTGTTAGATCATGATGCAACCGGTGAGCTCAGGTTGAATTTGAAAGTTTTCCATCCGGTAAGGTAAGTTCGGCTTTCTATGAAATCCTGAATATTTAAGTAGGCTGACTTAACTTGGAATTTCCTCAGGGTCTACCATACTTGTCATCTTTTAGAACCGTACACCCGTTCCACTCCTTACAATCTGTTCCACTCATTCTAGATTCTAGATCTCAGCCGTGATGCAACAACACAACCCACAAGACACCCTTGTAGATAGTCTTCAACCGGCCAATCCCAGTTCTCTCGCGATTGCTCCGCCTGCTTACTTTTCAATGCCAAATTTGACTGGGTTGCCTGCTCCGATTGATAATGCCGAACCTCCTCAAGATACCACCTCCAGCCCCACCCGAGTACTTGGCCTTGGTCCTCCGGTCATCTTTGAATGTGGGATCAAGTTCACCCTGTATTGTCGTGAGCGAACAAGACGCAACTCTACCAAGTGGGTTGCGGTCCGATCATCCCCAAACTTGTCGGTTACGTTCAACACCCGCGACAATGTCAACTGGGTTGGTTTCCAACATCTAGTTGCTGACGAATCCAACCGACAGTACAACAACATCGCTCGGATGATTCTTGATGGAACCAACAGCTCGCCTCCGACCATCACCTGGCGTGCCTATGTCATCAAGAATCGCGAATGGACTAAATCTAATCCCCAGCCACTCACCGATCAGGCCTCGTTCTTGAGGTGGATCTTCGCGATCAATGAGAGCAAGCAAGCAAAAGGAGGTGTCATCTTGGAGATGTCAAACCCTCGTAATCAACAAACCCGGGCCCGCGCTGAGGACCTCTTGGCGATGACGGTGAGAAGGATGGATGCACGACAGCGGGGCCCTTCCGCAGGTAACGTTGTAAATGCAGGATCGGAATCGGTGAGCTTTTATCTTTGTATTCAATATTATTTAAGTATCAATACTGATCACATGCCTTGAATTCATGCAGGAACATGATGTCGATGGCCCTGAGTTCAGTGCATTGGACCTGCGTATTGAGGAGATATATGCTCGGCATGGCGTGAATACAGAATACGATTGAATCCACCCAGTTTTCTTGGACCCAGCAAACCATGACAGATACATCCTTTTGACCTCCGGCAATGTCCAATTGTGGGCTCGTGCTCTGGTGAGTCATTTTTGGCCCTTTATTCTAATTAGGCTGTATTATTTTTTAACTAATTTTTGGACTCTGCTGCTGTCCAGTGTCAACGAGTCCCTGGGGTCAGCCTTGTGTCCCCCCCAAGCTCCCTCAAGTACCTCACGCGCAGGCGATCTCAAGGCGTTCGACCAGGAGGATCAGCTCTGGATAACACACTGGCCGGGTTAGCCAGGTTCTTTGCTGCTTATCAAAATCCAGACAGACTTCCCGAGGTCACTCCTCCCCCTTCGGTTGCTGGTGAGGAAGCTGAAACTACCCTTGGTCAATACTTAGAATTCATTGGTATCGCCTCCCATAAGCGAGAAGAAGTCTTGAACGTGCTCCTGGACAACGACATCGATAGCTACCACATGTTTGTTCTGCTCAATTCCAATCAACTCCAACAGCTTGGATTCAATATCGGAATCATTACCAAGCTCAGAAGTAATGTTGCACGGTACAGTGCTCATCTTGGTAGCCAAAATTGAGCCGGTCAATCTCACTGTACTTGCCTTCTTTCCTTGTGTTGTGTCTGCTTTCATGTGTCTGACCGTTCCTTCCCTTGATATCTTACCCTCCGTTCCGGATTGATTGTGCTTGCCAACTAAAAAGAGTGTTAACCTCGTCTCCTGACCCCCCAAACATGTAAATAGTCAAGCCAGATTGAATGTGCCTGCCCAACTGCCTAAAATAACCTCCCTTGCCTGTTGTGTCTGCCCGACTGCCTAAGAATATGCTGATATCATTATTAGTTAGTGTTATGCCTGTTGTGCCTGCCCGACTGCCTAAAAATATGCTGATATCATTATTAGTTAGTGTTATCATTGTCTCCTCCCCCCCTCCCAACTGTTAATAGCAATGCCAATTTGTCTGTGTCTGCCCGACTGTCTTTGAAATTACAGCCCCATGCAATGGATGGAACCGACTTCGCAGTCTATCTGGTGTCTTCAGTGTTGATATCTTAACTCTGTCCTTTGCTCCGATGGTGAGGAGCTTTAAGCTATCACAGCCCCATGCAATAGACGGAACCAAGTCTTCATTTTCAATTCCTTGACTCTGTACTTTCGTCCGATTGTGATGAGCTTGACAGCCCCATGCAATAGACGGAACCAAGTCTTCATTTTCAATTCCTTGACTCTGTACTTTCGTCCGATTGTGATGAGCTTCAATCTATGAAAGATTGCAAGCTTCTGTTCATCATCTTCTCTATCAAAGACTCAAATGATTGTCTGTTCCTTGGTCATTCCGACCGTCTAGCTCGATATTGTTTAGATCATTTTAGATCAGGAGGTGCTCCTTATTTCAAGATTAGGGAGCAATATCTTAGATTCCTTGATCACAATCACACAGACGCTGACATGAGAAAAATAAAAGGAAACATAGTCTTTTTTGTGTAGAGAGAGTGAGTAAGGACGAGATCTAACAAGATGGATTGGTTCTCATCTAACAACATCAAGTGGTCCTTCACTGAGAAGAGATAGATAACAAACAGGCAAGACAGTCAACATGACGTGGAATTTTTTTTTGTATTGTATTGGAACTGCTGGAGAGAGGTCACAAGCGACCTGGTTGGTTTTTATGGGTTTGGGAGCAGACATAACAAGCAAGCAGAGATAACAGTCAAGCAGATATAACAAGCAGGCAGTCGCTAATAACAAAAAAAGAGACCTAGGCTGCGTGATTTAAGGCTTCATTGTCCTCGATATCGATGACTTCGGTGATGACGTTTTATGGGTTTGGGAGCCGACATAACAAGCAAGCAGAGATAACAGTCGAGTAGATATAACAAGCGGGCAGTCACTAATAACAAAAAAGAGACCTAGGCTGCTTGATTTAAGTCTTCATTTTCCTCAATATCGATGATTTCGGTGATGACTTCGGGATCGGTATCAGAAGCTGGGGGGCAATTGTAGCCAGCATGTCGGTATAACTCACGACATAAGGTGGGACTGACGATGTTGTGAGTGGTCTCGCGAATCACCCAAGATGGGTCTTGCGCCAAGACCAGCGCTTGCGTGCGACGGAGGCTGCTTTTGACTTGCGAAAAGCACATCTCGATTGGGTTTAATTCGGGGCAGTAGGGTGGAAGGTAAACAAGTTTGACACCTGCCCGATGGCAGAGCCGAGCAACTCGCGGTCCTTTATGAATTCGCGCGTTGTCCATTACTAAGGTCGAGTTCGGACCTGGGTAACGATTCATGCGTGGGAGCTGAATCATAACATAAAGGTCACATTAATAAAGGGCGCACATTCAATAAGTAGAGGCGACGGTTCAAGCTCACCAGGCTCCATTCTAAAAAATGCTCAAAGTCCTCGCATTTGACCGTGTGTTCAAGGACAGTCAATGCCAGGACACCATAGTAGCTAATCGCTGGAATCAAACTAAACGACCTTGGGTTAGATTCTCGTTGGACTCGTGATGCCCCGGTTCCACGGATCGACCTGGAAGATCTTCGGAGGAGATCTCGAGAACAAATCGCAGACTCGTCTGCCAAGTTAGGAAGTAGAAACACGTTAGTCGAGTAGATTCGGATAGATATTGTAGAAATTAAAAATCACCTGTAAAAACCAGAAATTCTGCGGGCACATTGGCCATCTCGGCAATGAAGTTGAATTTCATTCTCAAGCTTTTGCGACTGTTGACAGTGTCAGCTTTTTTCAAAGTGATCCTGAGGTGGTCGACAAGGGTCCTCTGTAAGGTGCTGACTCCAAGGAGAGTGCCATTGGAATCGAACAGACGCTCCCGCATCTCGTCAAGAAAGAGGCCTGGCTCCAAGCGGACCAGGTCAATCATAAAATCACGATCTTCATTTGAGAGCAACCGGCGACGTCCTCGCAAGTTGTACTCTTCAGGATTTCGGACAACTCGTTGAGTCTCGTGAAATAAAGTGAGCCAACGATCAAAAGATTGTCTGGAGATAGTCTGGCCGAGGCTCTGTCGAATAAAGTCGCGGGAGTGATTTTGAAGAGACATTCGGACAGTCGCAACCTTGATGGTGGCCTCGTATTGTCGGAAAACCATGCTGTGTGTTGGGGAGATGCTGAGGGCAAATAATAAAAAATGAGGTGCTGGATTGATTGCGGAAGGATGCTTGGGGGGGATGAGGGAAGGATAGAAAGCAACTAGGGGGGGGGGGGGTGATGTGGGCAGATCGGAGAGAATGGGAGATATGCTGGTGGACAGCACAATCTCCGACCGGATTTCAAATTACAACATCAAGCATGCGTGAGAGAAAGCTGGCAGAAAGGGTCTGTCAGGACAAAAGTCCTGCCCGACATGAGCCCTAAATGCATACTTTAAGCAAAGTGAAACAAAATTCAGTCCAAGCTTTTCGAGAAACACAGTACATAAGAAAACCTCGCCGAGTCATCTCCATCATGGATGACCCCGGACAAACCAGCTGAATTCGACCGGCCATGTGTCATCTCGAGCTCAAGCCTCAGGCCTTACATAAGACTTAAATGTGTCCCGAAGTGTGATCAGCAACGAATGGGAGATGTTGCTTTGTAAAGCCAGACTCTCGATCATCATCATCATCATCCAGAATCCACCAGACTGCTTCCTTCACGCTTCTTGGACTTATGTGCCGCATCGTGGTCTGCCATGCGCTCATAACCAACCTTCATCTCTTTGCAACTCATCCATCCATCCACACACATGATCAAACACAACAAAACCATACACATGACAACAATCTGATTCATAGGCCATGTTTCTTCTTCGGCTATCCTTCCCCCATCAATCACCAATCATCACCAAACCCATCGCAATAGGGAGAGATTGTGTGGAGAATAATAAATTATGGACAAGCTTCATCGAGCCTCAACACAGTCTCTGACTATCTCCTTGACTTCACTCCCCTCGTCGTGACTCGTCGGTGTCCTACCTAAACACAAGACTTGCATTTCATTCATCAATCACTACTTCTTTGGCTCTGATCCCCGGGTATCCAGGTCCACCGATCCTTGCGGGTCTACTTATATATCCAGCCGTCGCATCTGGCTCAGAAATTTTCAATCCGTCTACATAATTCTCGCCAAGAAGATAAATTATTCATCGCTTCCAGCCACGCCCTCACAACCTCCAATCGGCTCTACTACCTGCAATGACTCACCAAGCAAGCAGTCTTTGACTCACAGGACATTATCGATTTCCAAGGCTGTTTTTTTTTGCATCATCTTCCCCCAAAAATATACACTTGCAAAAAAAACATCACACTACCCGATGCGCTTCAACAGAGCTTTTCCATCATATCTCTCGTTATTTTTTGTTGTTGTTGTTGTAGTACTTGTAGAGCAAAGATAAAGGAAGGGACCTCATAAGTATCTTCCAAAAACACCACACCCCGTCTTTCTCAATTACTGCCCCTCTCACTTGTCATTGGGCGTATCCTGATTTGTCACTTCCTCCACAAGATCCACGCTTTAAACTGCAAGCTGGAACTACCACACCGAAAAAAATCGGCCATCCATTTCATTTTCAAGAAAGGCTCTTTACATATATTTATATTCAATACAAGGCCCATATACCCTCTCAAATGAATGATAACAAGATAACAAATCACAACCTTTGAAAAGTTCTCTATCTGTGGTCGGAGAATTACACTATTCACATTCGCTGATCACAACGACAACCAAATGTCGCCCATCCCACTCTGGAAACAAGTCCCTCAGCCCAAAAGCTCAATCATCAATCACTCATCCCTGATCGACAAGCTCACTGGATTCGACATCTCTGCTTATTTTGATCCGCCAAAAACTAAGCCGATCCCCCGTCAGGTCTCCATCAACTTACCCCTTCCGCCATCTGCGTGGAAATCAAACAAGAATGGCCAGCTGCTTGTTGGTAAGCCCACCGAGGTCAGTTCATGTCTAGCCACCATCTTGATCAAGAAAACCTGCTTCATCGGAAGCTTGAACTTATATTTTTCCTTAATTCGGCTTCAACTTGATATGTAGGCTTGGGAACATCCAAACAATCAAATCCAAACTGCCAAATATTCCCTTTTGACTTTCATTCCTCGTAATCTCGCCGAACAGTTTCGAAGAATAGCCAACGCCTTCTTCTTACGTTGAGTATCATTCTTATTAGCCATCTTCCCCATCTCCCACAGCTACTCTGACATCCCACTCCCTTCTTTTTTTTGGAATCTTAAAAGTTATTGTTATTCTTCAATTCCTGCCCCAATTCTCTCAGCTTTCCCCAATCCTTGGCGCGCTCCCACTCTTGATCGTCCTCGCTATCACGGCCGTCAAAGATGCCTATGAGGACGTCCGGCGTCATGCGGCCGATCATAAGACCAACCATCAACTCGTAGATAGAATCTCTCAGGAGATTTACTCAAACCAGAACATCACTAAGCCTTATTCCAGTGGATTTAAGTTGACCTCGCTCTTTAATCTTTTGGGGGAGAACAACCCCGAGCCGATGAAGACAAACTTCCCAAAGCGTCATTGGTGGTCTCGCCGTCGCCCAATTCCACCCTCGGCGGTTTCCCGAAATTCAAAACACTCCACCTCGCAGGTCGAAGAGGACAATTCTAAAGGATTTGTACCGACGGCCTGGCAAGACCTGCGTGTGGGTGATTTTATTCGATTGAAGAATGATGACCCAGTGCCCGCAGATGTGATCATATGCGCGACCTCTGATCCAGAGGAAAACGTGTGCTTCATCGAGACGAAAAATCTGGACGGGGAGACCAATCTCAAGTCGCGACACGCGCTTCCATCCCTCAGTCATCTTCGATCCGCCTACCATTGCGCTAATGCCGATCAGCCCGAATGCCGATTCATCGTCCAAAACCAAGCCCCCAATCCGGATCTGTTCTCCTATTCGGCTGCAATCGTCTTCCCTGAACTTGCTCGTCGCGTCCCCGTCAGCCTCCAGTCCGTCCTCCTCCGTGGGACTGTGCTCCGAAATACCGAGTGGGTCATCGGCCTCATCGTACTCACCGGGCCAGACACAAAAGTCATGCTTAATTCCAAGGGAACTCCGTCCAAGCGCTCAAAGGTCGAGCGCCAGATGAATCCTATGGTGTCAGTCTTTCTCACAATATCTGGCAAAAAAAAAATATAGAGCATTACTACTTCCAGCTTATTGACTTTTTTTTTACAGTTTTATCAATCTCGCCATTTTGGCATTCATGTGCATTTTCAATGGAATAGGCACCCGTATTGCCGAGAGCTATTTCTACAGCCGAGACTCATATTGGACCACAGGTTCGGACCTGCCCGATGATAATCCCCGAATCAATGGGTTGATTGGCTTTGCCAATGCATTGGTCACCTACCAAAACATTGTTCCGATCTCGCTCTACATCTCCATCGAGTTCGTCCGCACCCTCCAGGCTTACTTCATCTGGGCTGACGACGACCTCGAGCTCAATGGCCGGCGAACTTTGGCCCGGGCTTGGAATCTATCCGATGATCTAGGACAAATTAAATACATCTTTAGTGATAAGACTGGCACATTGACTCAGAATTTAATGCAATTCAGGAAATGTACGGTTGGCGGGATCATCTACCAAGGATCAAATGAGCTGGGAGTAATTGGCGATGAAGATATAAAAAGACCGAAAAATCTTGATCCAAGAGATACTGAAACTAAGGAGTCGGATGAGCTACAACCATCTCATATCAAAGGAGAAACCATCTCTTCTGGAAAACTGCATCCGCAGCTCGAGCCATTCACGGATAATAAGCTCATGGAAGATTTACTCAAGGTGGAGACCGATCAATCTGAACTGCTCCGACAATTTTTTACTTGCCTCAGTTTGTGTCATACTGTTTTGGCTAGTGAAGACTCGAACGGCTCTATTCAATACAAGGCCCAATCACCAGACGAAGCAGCGCTAGTCCAAGCCGCAGCTGACGCCGGCTTTGTGTTTAGAGGCCGAGACAAGAATGTTGTGAGGCTCCAGCTGCCATCCGGCTTGGGAAGATCCCGGCCCAAAGAAGTTGATCAGGAGCTAGTACTAGAAGAAGCCAATATCCAACCGCCAAACACCACAGAGCACTGCGCAACATGGGGGATGGATGAAGAGTATGAGCTTTTGGAAGTCAACGAATTTACTAGTTTGCGAAAAAGGATGAGTGTGGTCGTCCAAAAACTAGACAACCAGCAGCCGATCCCAGGGGAGCTATACCTGTTCGTCAAAGGGGCCGACAATATGATCTTTGAGAGACTGGCCCCGGGGCAGGAAGCCGTCCGAGACCAGATCGACACGCAATTAGAAGGCTTTGCCGCCGAGGGTCTTCGGACGCTCTGTCTTGCATATCGCAAACTCGAGCGGAGCCAACTCGAGGCTTGGTCGTGCAGATATTCGCAGGCGCTCAGTCAGCTCGGAGAGACTCGGGAAAGATTGATCGAGTCGGTCCAAGACGAATTGGAGAAGGATTTGATCTTCCTCGGCGCAACCGCTATCGAAGATAAGCTTCAGGAAGGCGTCCCAGAAGCAATTTCTGATCTCAAACGCGCGGGTATCAAGGTCTGGGTAGCAACTGGTGATAAATTGGAAACAGCAGTTGGTGAGTGCTTGAGTTCAGTTTTATATTCTTGTCTCGAGAAATTTAAGGTTTCTTGGGGTCACCATATAATACACCCGTGGGCTGATCTCAGCTCATCTATGCCCAATGCAAGCTATCGCAAAGTCTTGTCAGTTGATCGGAAGCGACATGAATTTGATTGTGGTGAGAGGCGACGCGTACGGTCAAAAAGCCTCAGCCTATGAGCAGATTCGCAAGTCGTTGATCAACTTTTTCGATGGGGAGGAGCTCGTGGATGATCTCAAAGAGCTTCCCCCACATCACGAAAGGAGGAGATCGATGCAATCACTGCGTAGACCATCGATGGCCAATTCGATGAATGATGACCTCGCCTCACTCGTTGGTGAAGGCAACGGGAACCGGGCCGGAGGGTACGGACTGGTGATTGATGGGCCGTCGTTGAACCATGCGCTGGAAGAGAAGTTCACCAGGGAGGCGCTTCTGGAGCTGTCGACGAGATGCGAAGCCGTGATCTGTTGCAGGGCCTCTCCGAAGCAGAAATCAGAGCTCGTCAAATTGATCAAGGAGGGAACCCAAGTGCTCACCTTGTCGATTGGCGATGGCGCAAACGATGTCTCGATGATCCAGACCGCCGATATCGGCATCGGCGTCCTGGGCGAAGAAGGAATGCAAGCCGTCAACGCCTCCGATTATTCGATCTGTCAATTCAAATTTATCACTAAATTGTTGTTTGTCCATGGCCATTGGTCCTATCATCGAAACTCCAAGATGATCTTTCATTTCTTTTATCAACAGATCATTGGTATCATTCCTCTGTTTCTTTATCAATTCTGGTGCGCTTATTCTACTACTACTTTGTTCGAATATACGGTACGCACCCTCGATTTCCTGCATGCTCTACTTCCAGGGCCCCACTCACAATTGATCACGGGTTACTGATTGTCTTTTGTTTTTCTGGCTTCTTTCTATCGCACATTTTTTTAAATAAAAAAAATAGTATGTGCTGCTCTACAATGTCATTTGGACCTTGCGTGAGTATCAATCTGCTTCTTAAACTCAGAAACGTCCCCAATGCCTAACAGATTCACTTCTCACAACCATTATGGGTCAATTATGTGGGTTACATAGTGCCGGCCGTAGGGATGGGCGTGTTTGATCAGGATGTAAGAGAGAAAGTTCTGAAACAGGTTCCCGAACTATATTCCATAGGAAGAGAAGGAAAATTATTCGGAGTCAAAAGATTTATAATCTACATGCTCGAAGGCACTTATCAAGGCGCAATAATTTATATCATCCTAGCCCTTACTTATAACTCTAATTCCACAAGGCCGGATGGATGGGATACTTCGATGGACGAGTTTTCTAGTGTCGTGATCGTCTCGATCATCCTAGCTTGTAATATGTTCATTGCCCTGGGCCAGCTCAACTGGAATTGGTGGGTTTTGGGGTGTGTTTCTTTCGGCCCTGTTGCCATCATTATCTATACTGTTGTGTATTCAGCGATAAATCCCGATCAGATGTGAGTTCTCTGAGAATCCACAGTGCGTATCCAATAGTGTCTTTTTGCCATGCTTATATATGGCCGGTTTCACAACACCACTCCACCTATCCAGTTGGACAACAGTCTATGGAAATAACGATTTCATCTGGCCCAGCGCCCTCTTTCTGGTTCGGACTTATACTCTCAATCGTCACATCTCTTTTGCCTCGGTATCTCATGAATTATTACCAAAGCACTTATCATCCAACGTCAGTTAACCACCTTTACCTCTATTGCCTCCGGAATTCAGCACTCGCAACTCAGATGTGGTTATCACTAGTTACTCATCTGCTCATTTTATTATTATTTTTTGACTGAAAAAAATAGTGATATACAAATCTTGAGGGAAGTCGACATCCGGAATCCTGGAATAGATTTCAAGGTGGATGATCGGATAAACCTGACGAGGGAGCGGAACTCAGACGAACGTATCCAATCACGGCGTGGCCCAGAAAAGGAAGTCCAGAAAACCACCGACGGGGCAAACGATGAAAAACAGCCCCTGGGAATCTATGCTGATAGTTATGTGAACATAAGCGGGCCGGACTTGATTCGGTCGAGAAACTCCTTGACTCTTGATATGGCCACCGGCCAATCATCCACTGTCGAAAGAGGCTTCAACTTCGACCAAGCCGACGGAGTGGGTGAGCGAGCCGTGGGCGCTAGGTTGAGAAGATTCAATTCGAGCGTAATGAGTTAGTAGATTTCCGTTCGCCCAAAGTGATTGTTCTTTCTTCCTTGAACTCATAGTACGCCTATTCATTCAAACATACAGGCCTAGCTAGTCCTACAGAAGGAAGAGAAACGCCTACCTTAAGTCAGCTATTCTCGCGAAGTGATTATGAGATAGGTCATCTCAACCGGAGTGTCGCAACAGATTTTTGCAATGAAATATCAGAAACTCTGGATTTGGGAAATCCTGATTTTGCTTCGAGTGACCGACGTCAGTCTTATGGACAAGCGACGTCGAAGGTCAGTCACAAGCGACATTCAAGCAGTGAGAGCTACGATCCATCAAGCTACCATCTGGCAAACCAAGTTGGCCCCCGGCATCTGTTCCAAAACTACAGAATTCAAGCGCAATACGATGCGCCAGACTCGCGCCCGACGATGGATCCCCTTCGTCGGAGAACTGTCTCCGACCTCCCGGCCACCGGAATCTCGCCGCAAACCTACGATGATCCGACTCAAGGCTCTGAAAGAAACTCGCAGGACGGAGGAGATCCACACAGTCTCAATCCAACCCAATGTTCGATCGCTTCAGATTCGATCCAAGATGGAAGCAGGAAGAGTCAAGAACTCGAGATGATCCGGGAGGAGGTCACCCGAAACGATCGCAATGGGAAGAGGATCAGACGCAAGCCGGTCCCGACTTATTGCGAACCAGCTCACGATGCGCCAGGCGCGGACGACGTTGGTCGATGTATGATATCAGAAGAAGCACGCGGACACTGAAATCCACTTCGAAAGATGAGGTTTAATGGTAATTAACAACCAATAAATCCCATTTGTTTTGCTTACATTTTCAATTCCTGTGGAAAAACTTGAGGAACTTTAGGACTGTAATTCGAGATTGGAAGTCGATTCTGGACACTTGATCCAACTGTGTCTATTTATCTTATTTAGAACATTTTTTTATGTATGTAGTTGAGAATGTGATTACATCTTTCTGGTGGTTGGATTTATGGCGAATAAATTTTTTTTTTGGATCAGGTTGGTGGAATTTTTACAAGTAACTCCATACCCTCATGAAGACAAGAAACCAAAAAAACTGCGGCTGAAAATGATTGGTCTAGCGACAGGTAGATAAAAGGGCTCCACAAAATGTGCTGGAGGACCTTGCTTGCTTTTACCAGCACTAGGGAACGTGCAGCTCTGATGGGGTATGCCAAACATTCAGGGAAACCATCACAGCTACCTTATTTTTTGTGAGCTTTTTGGAGAACAATGGAGGACTTCCCGTCAACATCTGCGGGTCTCCCAGAGTCGGTTTAGAGCTTCGAAATTCGAATTTCTCTGCAAGAATTAAGAGTTTTTGGGTCTAGAACGACTTCTGAGAGGGTCCCAGATCCGACGGGAAGTCCTCCAATCTGCTGCTCATGGATGGAGGGTGGGATTTGAATTTTGGGAAAGTAGATGTGGTGGATTTGTGAGTCAGAAGCAAGAAGTGAGTGAGTTTTTATAGTGTAAGGCACAGGGCTCAATCCTGGAACAACTCAGAAGGTGTGGGTTTTGTCAGCGGGTACACGACTGGAATCGTACAGGGAAATTTCTCATACATACTCCGAATTTCATTGTTCTGTCCTGATGTTCCATCAAGCAAAAATACTTTCAGTCTAGTTTCTCAATTTAGCAAAGTTTGGCAATCAAAAAGGGAATAGGCCAGTTCACGTCTGAACTTGTAGTTCAAGGCTGTTGAGTTTTCACTTGCTCTGCCTACTCTTCCCCAAATCACTCCCTCTTTTCCTCACTTCTTCTACCTATTTCCTTTCATGAATCTTCTTGATCTAGACTGAACTGTAGTCTTTCACTGCTGGTTTTGTGTTGAATCTTATGCACTTCTTGGAGTCTAATTAGAACTATCAAATAGCAATTTATCAACAACTCCTGTCTTTCTGAGTGATTCCTTTCTTTTACTAGTTCTCTATTTGATTCCTAAAAACTGATTGTTAAGAATTAACGCCTCTTATACATTTGTGGTTGTGTGCTTGTTTTTTCATGATTAATTTGCTAGCTTTTCTAAAAGAGACTGAGAAGAATTGTCTGGCTGTTTCTTCCATGAACTCATTCATTCCTTCCTCTCAGTTTTTATTCAAAATCATCTTTTATTCAATTTCTCTCAACCACATTTTCAACCTTTTGTGTTTAGTCTATTTAAAACAGGCTAGCTACAAGAAATAAAATTCATTGGTTCTATCACTCATTTTCCGTGAACCTCTCCCAACAAAGGTCTTCACCTTTTTTGTGCCATTTTCTCAAAAAATCCTCAGCACTTGCCGTCCTCGAGTTCAAAATTTCAACAAAGGCATTTTTTAGCACATTTGTAGATAAAACTTCATGACTTTAATTTTCAAATCTCATGAATCCTTATCAGGTTTGGATGAATTTGAGATTTTTGACAAATTTGTAAGGGCCTGTACCATAGGATTTGATTTTGAAAATTTATCATTTTTTCTGGCTTCCACACAAAAATTGAAAACAATTCAAGGAGTCTGCTGCTGAAATTCTTCATTTTTAGGCCAAAAACTATGTATTTGCAATGGTCACTTTTGATGATATGAGAATTTGAGGAAGATAAATTCCAAGAAATTGGATTTTCAAGCCCTACGGTACAGGCCCTAAAAGTTTAATGATAAATGTCATTAAATTTGCCTCAAAGCTCAGACGTGAACCGTCCTAATGAAATTGTCAGTTCAGGATTATTAAGCAAACCAGATGACTGAAAGACAAACAAAAAGAGGCCACCCCCCCTCTAATGTTACAAAACAGTGGGTGTTGTCCTCAGAGTGTTTGGCTCTAAGTCTGAGAGATGTTGCCAAACACAAGCCAAGCAAACACTCAAAATTCAACCTTCATCACCCCCTCTTTTTATAATGCTTCACAATCTTCTTGCCTTCTCTTTCTGTCCACCCAATCACATTGACAATTTTCTTTTGTCAGAGGGGTTTGTTATAATCCTCAATCGCAAACCCATCAAGCCCAATCTGGAGATTCCAATTCTTATCCACTTCACCTACATTAGCTAGATTACCTTATTCTCCCCACATCTATAATTTTGTCCTCCGGGTCATTGTGATCAATGCAATAGCCATCAAATGTTTTGCTTTAAGGTCAACAGGATCTCCCAACCCCTGTTTGCTCTTGCTCCTACTGGCACAAAATTTAGCAGGGTCACACATTGGAACCTGTATGAATATGCTGTATACATAGAGAGGTAAACATAAGGCAGATGCTTTGAGCTTGATTAGATAATTACTAAATCATAATGCACTCAATGCATTAAGCTTAGGGAGGCACAGCCACCCCTAAACCCTAGTATAATATAGTACTCATGAATGCATCTTGGGAAAGACTTTGAGAGATCATTGAGTCTTTCCAGTTCCCTTTGAACTCAAGTGCCAGCACCATGTTTTGGAAAACCAAGCCAGACAAACTTGTCTCAGCAAAACAGGTAGAATTCTTGAGCTTGAGAATATCACACAACTGCCACTTGGCTCTCTGAGGACTGGTATTGACACTACAACCAATACCAGTTTTGCCCCAGGAAAAAATGGCAATTTGGGTGGTGGAAAATAGTTCAATTTCCTGAGGCTTTTTTTACAAAATGACTCAGGAGTAAAAATGAAGCTAAAAATGAGCTATTTTAGCCCAAAAAAAAAAATGTCTCAAATGAGCTATTAGTCATACTGGAATGTTTGAGGCATTCTTCTTTTTGGGCTAAAATAGCTCATTTTAGCCTAATTCTTACTCCTGAGTCATTTTGTAAAAAAAGCCTCAGGAAATTGACCTATTTTCCACCACTCAAACTGCCATTTTTTCCTGGGGCAAAACCGGTATTGTTTGTAGTGTGACAACCAAATAAGGCAGGTTTTGTGCCAAAAAAAAATCTCTGTTGTAGCTGGCCCTTGGTAAAGCATACCCTGGTACACATTTATGAAGCAATGGTCGCTTGTTCTGTAAGAAATATTGGATGACCAAGATAGTTTTTGGGTGCTCAAACCAGTATGAAAACTTTGTGGTAACAAGCACAAGTTTCTGTAATTGGAAGGGGATGTACAGCAGTACTGGATAGGCAAACAGTCATCCAAAGAGGTCATTGTCAGCCACAGAGCACCTTTCACAACACGTGAAATGTACCTAGTAACTGCAAATAATAATAAATCATTGAATACAGGAAGATATTATTCATTGTTGTTAAAATAATAAATAAATAAATATGTATTTACATTTGATCTTAATTCATAATTTACATTTAATAATTCTATATTTAACTGTGAAATCCCCTTGACTATTGTACATATAATATCACTAGTATTTCACAGAAATAGCTTTAGAATAAGGTATTAAAATAATATTTATTCTTATACATTATGTACATATTTTATAATACATAAATTAATAACATAAGTATAAGAATCAGCTAGTAGAAGCGTGAAATGGATGAGGAATAAGCTATATAAATTTATCTGAAGCTTACCCATCCTTGATCACATCATCAGGGCATCCGATTGAATCATAACCCTCTTGGATGGCATCATCAGGACCTTTTTGTGCTCTAATTCAAAGCTTGCATAATTCAAACTGGCCTACACGGGAAAGGAGCCCAAATTCTACATGCAAGACTGAATTATGCATGAAGGACAGGCATTTCTCATGATCACAAGCTTGCATAAGCAGAGTTACACGTATGCAAACAACTCTACAATTGCACAGCCCCTGCACAGTAACTGTAGCCTTATCAATTACGTGAGGAATAGGCCACAAAACTCAATTATAATTTATGCATGTATGATCTCATGTCCTAGGACCTTCCACCCATGCATAGCACTGCACAGCTGCAGCTCCCATCCTTACACAAAATTGTAGAGCTGCTAAGAAGATCCCTAGTGCCCTGAGGTCCTCTCCTCTTCCCCTGAGCCCCCTGTAGAATATTTAAGGAGCCCTGATTCCTACCTTTTCCCCCCAGGAAATTCTAGTAGCATCAAACCCTCACTTTTACCGTGATTATTAGTGATTCAACCCACCAATAACATTACAGTCCAGCTACCTTAGACCTAAATAGATTTACTTTGCTCAGATTCAAGGCATTTCTACTTATCTCTACTGCATAAAGAATTATCCCCCTGGTTAAACAATTCTGGTCCTTAAGTGTACATACACTTATTCATCTGGGTTGTTGTTAAAAGACTTGATCCCAAGTGAGTAGAAGAATTCCTCACATTGGAAGCCTATTAATCCATGTAACAGGATTGATCTGGATGCCCAATTGAATAATTGGATGAGTCAGCAGTAGAAGTACCATTCCTCACTGACTCCTCCTTGTTTCTTTTAAAGGTTGAGGGATTTTTACCACGAATAAACCATCAATTTACACTTCTTGTTAACACTCATAGCACAACCCACTCAGGTTAGTAGCATAGAGGCTGACAGTCATCATGTAGCTTCCAAACTTTTACACTCACCTTCTAAGGGTTGGATTGGTAATTTGGGTAGCACTTAATTCACTGATGAACCTGTTGGACCCGGGTACCAGTTTCTTTTTTGGCCAAAAGGTGGCACCAGGTACCGCACCTGGCACTATCTGGCGGGTACCAGTGGTACTTGAGGCGGGTACCGCCCGGCTGCCAGAGATTCCTCCAGGCAACCTGGTTGAGACCAATCAGGTTTCCAAGGAGGCCCGATTGGTCTTAATCAGGTTGCCAAGGAGGGTCCTTACCAGCGACCTGATTGGTCTTAATCAGGTTGCCAAGGAGGGATCCTCTCCAGCAACCTGGCCAAGACCAGTTGGTCTTGGTGAAGCCATCAAGGAGGGGGTTTGGTGTGGGTACCCTTGAAGGTACCAGGGTACTTCCTGCTTTTTTGACCAAAAGCAGGCACTGAGTACTGCACCCAGCACCAACTTGGTGGGTACCATCAGGGGTAGGGGGTACCCAACGGCGGGTGCCAGGTACCTCAAGGCCATCTCTAACTTAATTGTTTGGTTGGTCCCAGTCTTTCACAACAATCATTGATACAATTTCAAGATACAGATTGGTCAAGAACAGTTGGCTCAAACAAAGATGTATTTTTCTGATTTGGTGCGGATTACATTTGATTTTCTGGGAAATTCCTTTTGTGCCTTTTTATCTTATCTTATTTCAGACCGTTCTCACTATCCTTAAGCTTATGATATTTAAATAAAACTTCAGCACATCCTAATTTGGATCATTTGGGGGAGAGCAGGTGCAGTTTTTGTCATTGGGTATCAGACTGGAAAAGTAAAACTATCAAGGGGAATGTTCTGATAATATGTGCTGGCTTTGGTGAATGTCCAGTGCATCACCAACAAGATGACTAATATTTGAGGTGCTGCTCAAAGGCCTCTGGGACACAAAATAATTTGTATCCACTTGCTATGTCATAACTTGACATCTGACATATTTTTAAAAAGCTGACTAAAATGCAAGGTGCTCCCCTCAAGCTTGGCCCATATCCAAGGTTGCTATGATGAAAAGTTTTTTTTAATGATTGCACTGCCCCTACATTCTTCCAACTTGTTGATCTCTTCTTCATATTTTCTTTTGATCAACAGATTTCAAGATATTGCCACTGAAAATTGAGGAAGTATTTGTAGATATATGATTTACTGAAGAGTGCATGTTTGTTTTTTTAAAGCAGAGGGAAAGGGTGAGCTTATATTTAAGTTTCAACTGATGTGCATTGAAATTTATTTGTACTGGTGTCAAGAACAAATTATACACAGAATGCTCTACAAAAAGCTATTGGAAATGATTGATTGAAAAAATTCAATAGTTTCACTTAAATGTCCAAGGCTACAGGTGCCAGCTTCAAAAATGGACAGAAAGGGCTGGTACCAGCTGAGGTGAAAGTTTCAGGATTGGAGGGATTATGTGGTCTAGTGTAGTACCTAGATCCCTGACAGTGACTGGATAAGGAATCTAGAGATGAAGTGGAATTAGTATCTGCAACATACTAAATCAGATAATTCACATATCAGAGAAGTACCAATGAGGCTTAAATGTATCTTCTGGGAGCTGTAGTAGTCAAGAAGAGGTTGGGGAAGCAACATTATCAAATGAGGAGATAGATATCAATATATGTTAATGTAGCTTTTTGGTTAGAAAGGAATGAAAGCC